TTTCTGAGGTCTTCTATAGTTTGCAATTACAAAATGATACGAGTCATAGGAGCAATAATAGCAGGTACCTGGTGATTTGGCGGGTTTGGTTGCGGCGCTTCGAACAGTGAATCTAGCAGCTGTTGAGCCTGAGTTTGTCCTGCTTGAGTTTTGAATAATGGCTTTAGGGGTCAAGCAACAGGAACTGGGTTCATTAGCAGAGTTCGGGCAGTAATTGTAGTTAAAAGCTGGGATCCTGGAATGAAAATTGCGATGTAAAGAGCAAGTTGAATGTGGATTGACTGAAGTGGTGAGGGAAGCCATATGTCTAAAAGAAGAATTGCGCTTTGTATCAGGCGTGAATCAAGATTCAAATCAAATTCAAAGAGAAATGCGAGCTAAGCTTTCTCTCTCTTCCTGGGGTTCTTCCTCTGCGTTTGATTTCCTTTCTCTGAGAAATGTGCTTTTGTGTTGTGGAAGTTAGTGGGCCAGGGATCTTGTGGATATTTCGGAGTGTCAAAATCTGGAGTCGTGGCTGTGGTGCGCTGGTTCTCTGCCATTATGGACTTCTTTCGTCTCCCCTTATCCTATCAGCTTTATTACGTACGGTTTCCTAACTCTCTTTCTCCACATATTTTTCTTATGGTTTTATTTTCCTTAATTATGTGGTGGTTAGCTTAACCCGCTCCACCGCCTCAACCAAAAAGCATATACCTATTGGCTTAATTATGTGGTTATGAAACTCAAAAGTCCCACAAACCAAAACTTAACTCTGGTAGAACTCTTGAGTCTTGCTCATTCCCCTTCCCACCCAGGGTTTCCCTTGAAAAAAAAAAAAAAAAAAATTATTGTTGGTCTCATCCTCTTCCTGCCATGGTATATTAGTGAAAAGGCAACATGTATAACTTGATTTTCTATTATGTTTCGTTGAGGGCTCCAAGTAAGAAAAGTCCTTTGTGAAATTATATTGACTTCCCCATTGAAGTTAATGGGCAGTGCACATCGTATAATTAATTACTCATATGTTGTATTACAATGTGGTCCCCTTGTTATTTTTGATCTAAAAATATTTGTATAATATTTTTGTGGTGTTTCTCGTGTTGTTAAACCTTTCAAAACCAATACAAATGGGTTATTCATAAGATGCGCCTGCTTTCTCACTAATGAGAGATAAGGCATCAAAATAAAGATCTTTATAGGCTAATATACATTAAAAGGAACAAGTCAAATTCCCAAAAATAATAATAATAGCAAATGCTCGTATTACCAATACAAATAGTGAACTAGATGGCATTGGCACCATTCTTTAAGTCTAAGGATTTATGGCGAGCACTGAGAAATTTTTTTTTTTTTTTAATGGGGTCCATCTTCCCATCTTCAAGTACTCAAATATTAGCATTACATGCCTCGATAATCCAATCTTCTAGGATGCATGCATATTTCGGTAGTCAATACTTCCTCAGTCCCATTTTATATGTTATGGTCAACCTTGTAAATAGTTTTAAAAAAAAATAAAGTTTAACTGAGACAAGTAAGCTACTAAAAAAAATGTCTTTTCATTATTGCCCTTCAATTAAACTCTAAAATTTTTGTAAGTTGAGGTTAAAATTTTAAAAATGGCACAGCTACCTAAAACAAAGATTGTAGTAGTTTATAGCATGATTTATTCAGAGAATCATGCTTTACCTTGAGAGTTGTATCAAGGATATAATGGAAAAGTTGAATTTCATTTATTTCTATTTTAACTCATGACAAGTATTTAGGGACAAATCAAAATACAAACCATGACATAAAGAGTAAGAGTATTTTGGGAGTATTACAATGACTAGGACTTTGCCATGTTAATTATGAAAGAGATACTCTCTGTAAAGAGATAAATCTAGTGTCGTGGGCTTATGCTTGGACAACGTAATTTATTTTCTTCTCCACGTGCTTGCGGCTGTTAGAAGAAGAGGTTGCTTTCGCTTATTTAGGTGGATTTAGATTCTGAAGTCCTCAACGAACGTTCTGATTTTATTCTTTTCCCACAAAAATGGAAAAAAAAAAATTTTAATCTTCAATATGGGCTCCTGTGCCATCATCAGATGTAATTGATCAGGCACCGCATACTTCAGCCTGGTTTTGTTCTGCAGGGGCAACTTTTTTTTTTTTTTTTTTCTGCAGAAATAACTTAATAATCCTGTTTTTTTTTTTGTTTGTCTCAAATTATAGTCTACTTTCTAATTAAAGAACGTACTGCCTCTTTGGAACCTCAGGTTTTTTGCAAGTTTGTATGATACTAGTTTTTTAACAACTTTTGCTACAAGAATCCCAAAAATTTATCAAAATTTTTAACCTACACACTTCATCTAATACACAAAAAATTTCCTTTCAACTTCTTTTTCCTCCCTCACCCAACTCACCATGTTCTCCGTCGCCAGCCACCACATCCACCACCGCTTCCCGCACCGATCACCTATTCCGGCACTGCCTTCCTCTTTTTTTTCTCTCTCCCTCTCCTCTCCTCCCCTCCCCTCTTCCCCTCTCCTTTTTCCTCCCGCTTGCGACCAGATCGCAAAAGTGGAGGGGGAGGGGGGCTGTGATCTGGTCGCGGAGAGGGAGGATGGGGGGGAGGGAAGGGAGGAGAGGGGAAGAGAAAGGCAAAAAAAAAAAAATTTCCATGGCTTCCATTACTCAGGCGTCGGAATGCGAGAGGGAGAGGAGAGCCCTCTCCTTTTTCCTCCCGCTTGCGACCAGATCGCAAAAGTGGAGGGGGAGGGGGGCTGTGATCTGGTCGCGGAGAGGGAGGAGAGGGGAAGAGAAAGGCAAAAAAAAAAAAAAAAATTTCCATGGCTTCCATTACTCAGGCGTCGGAATGCGAGAGGGAGAGGAGAGGAGAGGAGAGGGAGAGGGAGAAGAGGGGAAGAGAAAGGAAAAAAAATTTTCCATGGCTACTGGGCGACCAGATCGTAACTACGGGGAGGGGGGAGGGCGGGAAAGGGGGAGGAGAGTGGGGAGAGAAAAAACAAAAGAAAAAATCCATGGCTGCAAGTTCTCATGGCTGCTGAGGGCGACGGGGATGGGGGGAGAGGGAGAGGGAGAAGAGCGGGAGAGAAAAAGAAAAAGAAAAATTTTCCCATGGCTGCTAGTTTTTGCCAGTCAGAGGCAGAGGTGCTGGGGGAGGGGGAAGTGAGAAGAAGAAGAGAAGAAAGAAAAGAAAAAAGAAAGAAAGAAAGTTTTTATCCTAAAAATTTTTCTTACAACTTCTACAATAATCTACAGTAAAGTTTTAGACAAATACTCAAAAAAACTCACCTTCCAAATGGGACCGTAGTTATCTTTTAATTTATCTAAAATACCCTTATTCAATGTAGATTGTTATTGGTATAAATTACCTTATTTAATATGGATTGTTAAGCTATCCCATTTAATACATTTAGATTTTCCAAAACATATTGATGTATGAAAAGCTAACTTTGCTATTCTTTCAAGTCCAAATGTGAAATAATGTAAAATGAGGATTGATTCTTTCTTGGTCATCAATTCAAGTTCTTATAAACCATCAATTCAAGTTTTCATGAATAATTAATATAAAATTATACTTTACTTAATGTAAGGGTATTTTAGAAAAATAGCAACCTAAATTTATTGTTCCAACAAAATTAATCACTTTTTCTTAAATTGTGTAAAAAAAACCTGGGATTATCGAAATGGGAGGGAGGAAGTGCATTTGAAGATTCTGCTTCCTTTTTTTTCCTCTTTATTTTTGTAAAGGAAAATACTACATATTTTCTTGTCTGATTCATATATTTCGGTCTGAGTCCAAAATAATAGAGGAAAATGAATAAAACGGCCGGTGTTGGATGATTATGTGGACGTAATTATGTACCAAACATTTTCAGTAATAGGATGTTATGAATGCTTGCAAAACATGTGACTTGTGCAACTTACAAAAAAAAAAAAAAATGTTTCCGTTTCCGAAAGGATAACACGTCATCAAATCAATCACTGCCCTAATTTTGATTGAAGAATAAGTGAAAATGAAGGTAAGATCACTTCATTTATTTATTGGTTGAAAATACGTACACCCCCATGTGACTTACAATCTAAGAAAGTGATGGTAGGGAAGCAATCAGACAAGGATAGAAGAGCAAATACGGAAAGCAATCAGATAAGGGTTCCATTTGGATTGCTTCTTTATACAATTTTTTATAGGAGGATGTACCGTAACAATTTAAAATATAAAAGATAAAAATTGTGTTTAGAAAAATAATATTTTTTTTAAGAAAAATGACAATCCAAACAGGTACACATCTGGTACTATTACAAATCTCTAATTGTTCCAAAAATAAAGAGATCATGACCGGTGTCAATCTCATTGTTACTCTTACCCTGTGCCCCAATAAAGTTAAGGCTGCGTTTAGATTGAAATTTTTTTAAAAAGATATTTATATTTTTTATGAATATATTTTCTAATTATTTTTTATTTTACATACATCATATTGCAACAATATATTTTTTTTACAAGAATTTGAAAAGTTAGCAGTTCAAACGAATTCTAAGGCTTTTAATCAGACTCAAAAAAAAAAAAGATTAGAGGAATAAGGGGAAAAAAAAAAGGAATCTGTGCTAGCAGCCTTGAACTCTGGAGATCTTTTTTTTTTTTTAAACTTTTGAAATTAGTTAATTAAACGTTTGAACTCCGAACACCGTGCTCGACCAATTTCTCACATTCCTGCCACCAAATCTAGAAAAGCCCAAAACCGTTTGCCTAAGCCTAAGGTAAGTAGGAACACAAATCAAGCAAACAAGAAATTAATTGCTTTTTTTTTTAAGTAAAAAATATTAAATTCGGAATCTTTTACTTAACAATTCAACTCAACCTTCCAACAAAGAAATTACTTGATTAGTCTCAATTCTTTTAATTTGGGAGTTGGACCTCGCCACAGAAAAAAAAGAAAAAAGAAAAAAAAAACCAGCAACAACAATAACATCCAATGTGACATCCATTGTGCCCGGTGCGCCACCCCAAAAGCCCAATCGGCAGTCGGAAGGGAAAGTACTGAGCTGACAATGTATATACTCCTATGGTAACATAAAGCACCGACAGAATCACACCAATCCCCAGTAGCCGCGTGTCAGATCGGTTGAATCTAACGGCTCAAAGAAAGGAGAAGGTGAATATAAGGAGTTGTTTCCATGATTAGCCGCGTCCCTAGCTGGCGGGTATAAATAGTGAGCTTTCCCCCGGCTAGCTGCTGTGAAACCCCGGGTACGTAAAACAAATCCCACTACTTGAAAAGGAGTGGCTATTACTCTCTTTCATTCGTTGTTTTTTGGCAGTGGAGAGATAGTGTGTGTGAGGTTGCGGAGGAGGAGGAGCACCGGCGTCCGATTTCGATTCCCCAAATTAGATCGGCTCTTTTGTGTCTCGTGTGTTTTGCATTTTGTTTTTTATTTTTGACGGAAGAGAGATTAATTTTGTTTACGACGACAAGGGGGACAGAGATCAATTGATTTTAGTAGAGTTGGAAGTAGTTTGAAAGAGATAATACACAATACAATGGAGTTGTTCTATTACATGGTGTTTGGGGCGCTGGGGGCGGTAGTGGCAGCTTTGGAGTTGAGTAAGGCCAACAAAGATCGGATCACAACTTCTCAGGCTTTCACTTCCTTCAAGAACAACTACCTTCTCGTTTACTCTCTCATGATGGGTACTTTCTCTATTACTTTCCTCTATTTTACTTCATTTCGTCTCTTCATTATTGTTCTGCCTCAGATCTACAAATTTTCGCAAATCAATTGCCACGCGTCCTTATTTGCCTATGTTTCAGTCTGATCTGTCTGTTATCATTGAGGAACTTCGGGTTTGTGGAATAAATAATTGGATCTTGGGGGGAGAGAGAGAGGAGGGGGGGTGCTTCCAATGCTATCAATTCCTTAATCACGTTACTGCTTGTCATGCGGTCTCATTTTGAGGCTTCGGATCTGGATCTCGGGGATTTCATCTATTTGCGATTGCGTTCCTTTTGATTGATAAAGTGCAATTTGGACGGACGGAAGCAGGGCTGTCTTCATATATAGTATTTACACAAAAAATTGCTTATGCATTCACAACGTAACGTATTAAAACATTTCTTCAGATTCTAGATTATTGGAAGGTAAATAGCTGAAGCAAGTTATATATTTCTATATGTTAGCTGCTTTAGAACCCACGTGCATTCTTGTCTTGTATAATTCTGGGAGATTAGAGTGCTGACGATTAGCATTCTTGTGGTGACAGCTGGTGACTGGTTGCAAGGTCCATATGTCTATTACCTTTACAGCACCTATGGCTTCGGGAAGGGGGAAATTGGACAGCTTTTTATTGCTGGGTTTGGATCTTCCATGTTGTTTGGCACAATTGTCGGATCTCTGGCAGACAAACAGTGAGAAATCCCACCTGAAAATTACGCAGTCATAGCTTTTTATTTTCTGCCAATTCAACTCATTTGAGCTTTCAATAAATTTCAGGGGACGAAAGAGAGCATGCGCGACTTACTGCATTACTTACATACTCAGCTGCATCACCAAGCATTCCCCACAGTACAAAGTTTTGATGTTGGGACGTGTATTAGGTGGTATTGCTACCTCCCTACTTTGCTCAGGATTTGAGTCTTGGCTTGTTGCTGAACACTTCAAGGTGAGGGGAATTTGAATCACCTTTGATAAGTTAGAATTGTGAATGCATCCTATGCTAGAATCTCTCTGTCTTTACTGAATTTTGTTAGCTTGGGATGACTGTCCATCAACAAGGACAGGGGTGGATTGATCTGCAAGCACTTTCTCCTTATAAGTATTTCTTGTTTGGTCATTTTGCTCCATCAGTTTTGTTTCTGCATATCTGGTAGAAAACTTAACTACGTGGGGTTCCCTTGGTGTATTTCGAGATGAAGAACTCATTTGCATGTTGGTCGAAGATAGTCTCCTAATTTATGCATCTCCATTTGCCTTGCTTCTGGACTTAGATACATGTGGAATTGAAAACTTGGTGGGTTCCTTCTATAAATTTATTTTTATCTTATAAATCCGGAATAAATGATTTATCTTCAGGATTTATAATCTGTTTCATTTTTGGATTCGAAACACATCACTTTAGCATTTGCATCTTTTTGCATTTTTTCATTAAGCATGGTATCACCCCCCCCCCCCCCCCAAAAAAAAAACCACCCCTTTGAATAGTTTTAAAAGAATCAAAGTTAATAGCTTAGGTAGGGTGAAAGTGCTAATTCTAAGGGTTGATTTATCTTTGTAGAGGGGCTTTGATCAGCAATGGCTTTCATTAACTTTCTCGAAGGCTATATTTCTTGGAAATGGTCTTGTTGCTATTCTCTCTGGATTGTTTGGAAATCTGCTGGTTGATTCCTTAAGTCTTGGTCCTGTGTCTCCCTTTGATGCCGCTTCATGCTTTCTGGCAATTGGAATGGCTATTATATTGTCAACATGGACTGAGAATTATGGTGATCCGTCGGAGAATAAGGACTTGCTAACTCAGTTCAAGAACGCAGCTGTAGCAATTGCTTCTGGTAGATCTCCTAACCTGCTTATGCACTGAAAACCATTCCTAATGCTATCAACGGGGCGAATGACATAGTTGATGAATCATTGTTTTAGCCATTTACTCAAATATATGTCTGTCTCGTGTGTTCTCATCTTTGGGCCCATTCTTATTTGCTGTATATGACTACATTCCAATTTGATATCAAAGAATATTGGTTGCTAATTAAAACAGAAAATCCGGAAAAGGCAACTGTAGCAATGTTGAGTGCTTGTCCAAAAGAATCATTTTATGATAAGTTTTTGACATATAGATTCACATTTACTTTTATTTCAGTCCTTGTATATATACAACTATTGACAACAGGCACTAATTTCTTTTACTGAATGAAAAGGCTCTAATTTGAATTCTCTAGCAATAAAAATGAAGAATAGGAGAGATTCGAATCTACATGTGCTTTGAACCATGATTTTGGATGTGGTGTTCTTCTCCATCATGTGCAGCTTGTCATATTGAACTTTTTTAGCATGCAGTGATCTTGATGATAATTGACATCTAATGGCCCGTTGAACTCTTAATAAGGATGCAGTGACTTTTATAATAGTGAGTCACCTGTCAAAGTCTTAATTTATATTGGATGTGTTTTACTACTCTTGTAATCATGATATATTCTCAACTGATGATTTATCAATTTTCTGCTTTCCTTTCTTTTTATCCTTCTTTTAGATTCCTTTATGTGGTCCTTAGTGCTATATTTTGTTGTGGTTCAGATGAGAGGATAGCATTATTGGGTGCAATTCAGTCCCTGTTTGAAGGTTCAATGTATACTTTTGTGTTTCTGTGGACTCCTGCTCTGAGTCCAAATGATGAAGAAATTCCCCATGGTTTTATTTTTTCAACTTTCATGTTGGCTTCAATGTTGGGAAGCTCATTTGCATCTCGACTTATGGCGCGTAACTCACCTAAAGTTGAGATTTATATGCAGATTGTCTTTGTGATCTCTTCTGCCTCTCTGCTGCTACCTATAATGACAAATGTATGTGCCAGCTCGCTTTCTCCACTCTTTACCTCTCAATTATGGTTATTATCTAATTTTCCTAATTTTTTAACAGTTCTTGGTAGCCCCCTCGAAGGTTAAGGGTGGTGGTATCTCATTTTCTGGTTGTCTCCAACTTCTTGGTTTCTGTACATTTGAAGCTTGTGTTGGAATTTTTTGGCCATCAATTATGAAGATGAGATCTCAATACATTCCTGAGGAGGCACGCAGCACTATAATGAACTTCTTCCGCATCCCCTGAACATCTTTGTTTGCGTTGTACTCTACAATGTAAGTTACTGATGCTTGGCAGAAAATAAATTTTTTTTATTAGAATGCATAGCCCTTTGGTTTACACATTTCGCCAAAACATGGTAATTTCAATCCCACTCTAACGGGTAATGCTGCACCATTCCTTTGACCATGAACTTCTGGGTATGCAGGATCTTCTCATCTTTAGTTCTGTATGTTGAAAAACCCTTGTATCAATCATGTACTTTCCTCTATGCTAAGTGGATTTTTGCAATTTGAAGGTTGATGCATTCCCCATCACTGTTATGTTTGGCATGTGCTCGATCTTCCTGTTTGTGGCGTCCATCTTACAGAGACGGCTGGCAGCAATTGCGGACAAGCCAAGTAAGTAAATTTTGCTGCCTGTAGACATCACTCCTTGGTACAAGTCATGTATTGAAAATTGTTGGAACAGAGTTGACACATCCACGTGTAGCAATTTAGTTAATGGTCTTGTATAATGTTACATTGCCACATGGTTACTCATCGGAATATTTGGTTGTAGAGGCAGAAGATTGGACGCCAATGAAAGAAAGAGACGCTGAAGCAGAGCCACTAAATGCTCCTTGATATTAACGAGTCTTCACAAACAAATGTTTTGTGAGGGTTCATCCCATGGCGGGCACACATTTGATTCATTAGTAGCCTATAAGAAATCTAAATTCACTCTTTCAGAAATGCCTAAGGAGAGCAGAAGCTGATGCCAAGAAGAAGTTTAATGCTGCTATAGCAATTTTTGGATACAGATAGAACAAAGTTTTAGCATTCACATACTCCTGAACTATTGCTGTGGAGATATCTTGGTGTTTATTTTTTTAATTTTCATGTTTTGTCGATAAGCAGAAAGTGAAAAATGGTTGCCCCTTTCGTAAATTTGACCTCAGTTTAAGGTTATATTGAGGCCGTAGATTTGTATTTGATATTTTATAATGTTCTTTTTGATTAGCGACAATTTGTAAGAACAACATGCCATTAAGCATTCTTTGTAACAGCGGATTACACGTTTATTTTCTCAGTAGCTGAGACGAGAGAAAAATTCATGCAAGAATCAAGCACTTTTTAGTACATCATACACCTTTAAGAAGGTCATTAACACCAAAAATCAAGCACGCTCAAAAGAGTCATTGGATGGGGCTCTTGTACATTTCAAGAAGGCAACAGGCAACCGAGCTAGCTCAGTTGGTCACAAGGGAGTATAGGTAAGGTGTTTGAAATTCTTTGACTATATTTTCCGGCCAAGATTTTTTGGTGCATTTGCGGAGGTAGTTTAGTTTTTTCCAAATTTTCAATAGCTTAGTTGGATCTATCCCTTCCCCCACCCCCTGGCGAGCGGAGTAATATAGGATTAGTTGTAAAAATGTTGTACAAAAAAAAGAGAGAGAGAGGAGAAAGAGCAAGAGACACTGCATAATACTCATAATGGTGCTGAGTATGTCATCTGCTGTTCATTTGTAAGTGGTCGCAACAAATGCTTCAGTAATTCAAAAGCCTGGAACAGTGAAATAACCGCTTGCGACTTTATGCTAAAGGTGATTCTACTTTTTACTGCCTGTGAAGGGTACGGCTAATACAAGCAATGCTTCACGTAGATATTACTGCTACAGTATCTTCAAGGAATCTTTTACGTTACTTCTTACGTATAGCGCTGTTATGAAGAAGGGATTGTAACTGGTCAGATTGCAAATTGAATCAAATGCAGGTTTGGAGGAGTTCTAACGGGTGTCAAGGAACCGATGTGAACATAAATTAATGTTTGGAGTTGTAGGAAACAAAATCTCCAGCCATAGTAATATTATTGCAAAAACCATTGCTGAAGCACTGTATAATGTTCAAGTGTAATTGCCCATGAAAGAATCAACAGAATACATTATATACAGTTGTGATTTGCAACAGTGCCGTTGAAAGAAGGTATAAAAACAGCAGTGGCCTAAAATAATACCTTGCTTTTTCGGTAGTTCCGCGAGGACAATAAGATACAATGCAACTGGCGTTCCATTGAAAACTGACCCATCAAAAGGATGCTTTCACAGATAAAATATGTGCAGTGTGTAAGCCTAAAAAAACAAAAAAAAAAAAGGTTGGGATGGTTTTAGGCGCCGTAGCCATCCTAGGCCAGGGAAAGCTCTTGGAATCACAAGTTGTTTGCTAAATATTTACAAATTACCCACCAATGCAATACTCATATCCACAGTGAAATTTGAGGACATGACCTTTATAGAGGAAGTAGTCCGTCCTAACCAACTGATCCAGTATGCATTGGCAGCAAATTTCGTATTACAACTTGCGCTTATATTCTGTATTACAACATATGTTATACACAAACACAACTGAGAATTATTCACAGAACTCGACTCCTTTTTGCATGTACAGAAGCAGACTCCAAGTCCCCAATGAAGAATAGGATCTTATCTAAAATACCTGAAGATGGTTCCACCATGTTAGAAAATTCTTCTTCCCCAACAGTTGCAGGAGAATGAATGATTTCCCCAGTTTTTGGTCTTCTAGAGCCTAAATGCCGTTGAATCTCGCCTTGGTGGACAAGGTAATAATCATCTCCTTCTCTTATGATCTTTAGGCCCCTGAAAGTACTAAAGTCAGCTTAGTAAAACAGCAAAAAGGATATTTAATTACTCTGTCACAATAAAAAGCTTTAAGGCCTTTAGCAAAACAGATTGCTAAATATATCAGGTCCTTAGTTATAAGCCTCAATTGAACCTTCTTTATCAAATTCTTGAGACCAAACACTTGCGTGCAGATAAATAGTGGTCTACAGGGGATTTTTTTTATTGCTATCACCAAAAATATCCAAGGGTTATTTTCCAATTTGGGAAAAAGAAAAGGACAATAGCTTCAAGGATAATGAATTTAATAAAGGTAAGACACAGAAGAGGTTGCAAACAAATGCATGCATTTGCACTAGTGACAGGCCAGCATTAGCAGGCAAAGGGACCAAACGTTCTTCAACCGAGGTGAGGCCAGGGTTAATGTAATATACTTCCAACATTGCGTAATGTGTTACTATTTGAATGAGTTGCTATTTGATTTCAACTTACAATCCAACACGATCACCTCGATCTTGCACTGCATACACATCTTTCCACAATTTTGAACCGTCAGGAGCAAAGAATGTGGCATGATCTACTCCCCATCTTTGCGTAAACAGGTAAGACCATAAAGTGTCGTCTGAGGCTAAGATTTTCCACTTCCTGCACACTTCAACAATAAGAAGGCATCTTTCTCCATCAAATTCAATACAAGGAAACAGAAGATGCATAATCCCGGCATGTAAATGGAAAAATCCAGTTACACTAAAGCAGACAATGGGCTTGCAAAGGTATTTTATGGCTATGAATGATATAAATCAAAATTCAACGGTCGCCCTTCTCACAAAATCATTTTCTCTACCACTATGGTGTTTTTTCCTGTCTGCAAGGGGTGGGTGCATGATGAATACAAGATCTCGTATCCCCAGTTAAAATTTGAGAACTGGAAATTCGGGAGAGTTAGCAAATAGACATAACGAGCCAGTGCTTGGCAACAATCTAAAGGATCCTTACTCCTTAGAAGATGATTCTGTCGAATCCTGATTGACTCTTGCCCATGTATATATAATGATGGAGCAATTTTGATCGCTTCTCAATTTCAAAACCAGTTGAGTAATAGTAAGAATGTTAGAGGCTCGAAACTGCAAAACAGTTATCTGTTGGTTCGGTTCCCCTCAACTCCAACAGTGATTTATTGGCAAAAAGCTGCAGCATTTCTTTGCTGAGATGCAGGAGAACAGCCAATCTTAGACAAATTCAACAATGGCAAATTGGACTTCAGAGAGGTAGAATTTTAAGTCCTGATTAAGCGGAAGTTGAACTATCGCAAAATAATCAAGATTTTCAACGCAGCCAATATAATAAGGAAATAAAGGACTGAACTCAGACATTAACATCGATCAGATGCTAAAATGAAGGAAAAAATTCAAAGACCAGCACTCGGTAATAACCGTTCGGAGAATGGATCCCTAATGTCACAAAACCTACAGGCACTCCGCGAATTATTAATTAATGGAGGATAGTACTGTCTTGGGTAGAATTTACAAAAGAAATCGAGATCGGATCTTAACTAAAAATTTAGCAATCCAGAGCAACATCAAGTACACTGAGAATTCAATCTGGGGGGAAAAAAAGGTTTGGAGAAACCAGAAGAAATAAAAAGAGTCAGTCGATACTAACCCAATTGAGCAGTTGCAAGATTTTGATGATCTAACAAACTAAGAATCTTGAGACAGACTTCGACAGGCAATCTCTCCATCGAGCGACAGAGAAACAAAAGTGGGAGACGAAGAAGACGGGATGAGATATGAAGATCACCCCATCCCATGTGCCGATGTGACGAATAATCTCTTTGTTTCTTCTGCCAGCACTGCTTCAAATTCTAATTTACCCTTTTTTTTGGGTAATAAATAAATGACAAATATATATATATATATATATAGACACGCACGCACACACACTCGTAGTGCCCGTCTCAAATTTAAACGGCGAGTCGCAGTAAGTGGAGGGGCAAAACTTTATGAGGCACGTGTCTATCACGTGTTCAGTACTGTTACCCCCAAGCCGTCTGTCTAATGCTGTCAGAGCTTGGAGGCATTCAACTGCAATAAAATCTCCCGTTGTTTTGTTTGTCACAAAGATTTTTTTTTTATTTTTTAAAAACAAAATGTAAAATTGGGCATGCTCCAACTGCAATAAAAAATTTTTAGTACTTCGAAATGCGGACCTCAATAATAAGCGTAACAACCAACGTATACTTTTTGTTAACATATCTAGTCAATGCGCGAATGCCGTTGTTTTCAATTGAGTTCCAATTGCTGATATGGCACGCTGGTAGTGGGTGATTGGTAGTCGTCCGGCCCGTGCAAATTTCCCTATTGATGGTCGTCCATTCTCACGCGTGAATTCTTTTGTTTAGCAATCTTTTGTTTAGTTCAAACGTTTAGCAATCTTTTGTTTATTTGTTTGTTGTTTGCCGGAAGTGTTCCGTTAATGTCTTTGTTTGCTTGAATTCTTTCACTAAAATCTGGTCCCACGTGCCTTTGATTTTTTTTTCTTCTTTTCCCGGCTTTTTATTGGATTGAAAGTTCTTGTTAACATATTACATGCGGGGATTGTGCTAAAATTTGGCCCCTTTTTTTTTTCCTTTCCCAACAATAAATTGTGTTGCTAAAAAATTTGGTATCCCAATTCTTTACAATTATCAGTGCTTTCTTTTGATTTCCAGATAAATTGCAATTATTAATTATTAATTTTTATTGTAATAATTGCTTATGTTATGCTTGAACTTTATTAATTATTATATATTATCATTTTTTTGTAATTGCTTTTGTTATGCTCCAATTGTAAAAATTTTACTCTTTATTTGATTTTCTTCCAACGACGACCTAGCTAATCTCGCTGAAAAAAAATTTGGTGCTCTTTATTTATTTAGGAATGAGAAGGGAAGGCATTGAACTATTATTATCAAATTTTCATGACAATCTTTATTTGGTATTGATTCTACATAAACAATCGACAATGTGGTGCCCTTCCATTAGTGTCATTTATTATTTGATCACACCACACACCATGTTTAATTATCGAATCCCCGCTATTAATTGTTATAATTATTTATTTACCTATTTTTATTTGGGTTCCTTTTTTTTGTTACCAAATAAATCACATTTAATTACCAATTTTTTACAATAAATTGTTAATAACTAATAAATAATACCATTTTTTTGTTACCCAACAAATCACATTTAATTCATAACTTTTTTGCAATTATTAGCACAAAATTTTTTTGTGCTTGTCAAAAAATTACATCTAATTACCTTTTTTTCAAATTTCATTAAGAAATGTCTTCTTTTGTTTTGGGATGAAGTTTAATTATTAGTTTTTTTCAATTAATTTTTTATTAATTCAGTTCTAATTTTGCAGTTCTTTTCTTTCGTTACTTGCCTAAGGAGGCTGTTGTAGAGATTAGTGGGTGTACAGACCCAACTAGATCAAATGAGTGCTATGACACAACCCTTAGATTTTTCTCACTGTAGGTGAGGTTCGAACTCTCACCTACAGCCCAAGGAGGGACTTAAGTCCCTCCCTGGTGGCCACTGAACCATTGGCGCAGTGGTTGTAACCAAACTTCTTATTGCTAATGTGATTGACTAATTTTTACAAACAAGCCTGCATTTTGTTTGTTTAGTTCCCAAGCATGCTTTCTCGATTTTCTCATTAGGCATTACTTGTCACCAGCCTGTTTTTGCCGACAAGCGACTGTACTTGAGCTAATTTTTACAAACAAGCCTGCATTTTGTTTGTTTAGTTCCAAAGCATGCTTTCTCGATTTCCTTATTAGGCATTGCTTGTCACCAGTCTGTTTTTGCCGACAAGCGACTGTACTTGAGCTAATTAATGCCTACCTTATTTCACTATATTACCTATCCCTTGTGGCTACATTTACGCTTCCACTCAATAGGCCTTGTAGCCTTTTTTTTCTTTACTTGAGGTTGTCTATAATTCTGCAAAAAATCGTCATTTTTCACCATTGTTGACCACCAGCTTTCTTTTGCTGCCGTTGATCGACATTGTTTAGTGTTTTGCATTTGCACAATGGTTACAGAGTTTCTTTGGTTTTTTGCAGCGGATTTTCTACTGAGCATCATCATGAACAATGGTAATTGTGCATCTATTGCATTCTTTTCCCTATTCTATTGCTCTTGTTTCTTTGTTAGACAAAGAGAACTACCTCATACGCATTGTTCTTCGTTTTCCTCTTCCATTTTTCTTTTCTTTTCTTTGTTCCTTTTTATTATTTTTTATTTGGTCCTTTTTTTTCTGGTTTTCCTTCCTGTTTCCCTCTCCCCATTTTTCCCTTTATTTTCTTTCCTTCTTTCAATTATATGATTCTAACTGATTTTTTTCCTTGTTAGAATTGGTCTGGATATGAAGCTACTAAACGCATGAGACACAGAAATCATCTTAATTGGTAAGCTCTAATATTTTCCTAAATTTTTACAGTTTCCTTTATTTAAAAAAGAAATACATTTTTCCTGCTAAGATTTGTTAATCTTTCGATTAATAACCCAGAGGTCTGAAATACTTTCCATCTCCTTCTTTGAGAAAACAAAGAAAGCCGTAGTAAAATCTTTATCCAAAAGCAGCGGAAGTTGGAAGTATTTATAAACCCAGAGATCTGCTATTTTTTCTTTTCTTGTTGAGTATGCTTCTGAGTTTGTATTCTGCCTTCTCTTTTTCTTGTGCTTAGATCTTGCAGGTGAAATATTAGAAATTTGCTTCAGTACCTTAATTAGATTTTGTAAATTTTCCTTAATTCCTCACTCTTTGTTCGTACAATTCTACAAAAGTCACTTGTTCTCCCGTTTTTCCGTCAGTGCAGCTGTGGCGATGGAGTCAGGATTTTCCCTCCTAGATATTTCAAAATGTTTTTCCTCTTTATTTTCTCTTCATGTCTCCAGTCTTCTTCTACACCACCATCTTCCTAAATCTTTCTTTGTCTCATCATTTGAATCATCAGTAAGTTGGATCATTCACCAGTATAAAAAGAAAAAAAATGGGAAGATCGTTTTCCCTTTTAAACCTTTTCTCATCTCCTCAGAAATTGTCATCTTTGTTGGTTATTTTGTGGGTTTTTTCCCAATACTTGATTGTACTTTCTATGGTGTTATAGGTGGAAAGGTTCAATATTTACTTCAACTCCAGATTCAAGGTAAGTGTTTACCATGACTTTCCCTTATCTTTACTCCAATTCTTTTTCTCATATGCTTTTACCCTTATCTCTAAGGTTTTTTTTTGTTTTTTTCGTATTGCTTTAAGAATGAATAATTTGACTTCCCTGTAATGTATTGTGCTCTTTATGATGTTTTGGTGAGACAAATTTTTTTTGTTTTGTTTTTGTTTTAGGTTGTTTGCTGTTGTTGTAATTTAGGAATTCATTTATAGAGAGTAGTAAAGGAAGGAATGATAATGTTCTGCATGGTTTAGGAAGTTAAAAAGTTTGATTTTTTTCATACCCTTTTCTAAATAATCAAGAACATTATAATTGTACTTTTTGGATTGAAATATCATATATTTCATAATATTTTGCCGAAGGATTAATAGGGAATGGCTTTGAAAATATGCTTTCAACAATCAATCATATGCATGTAAAAAAATTACCCACTTCTTTTGTTTGGTTTGAAAAATGAAGTAGTGTATTTTTTGGGTAATACAGGAAGTTTTCTGAAGCAAAACTTATCACTGAAGATATGATAAGTGTATAAGTGAGAAAGTTGAAATTTTGATGTAAGAAATCACATCGGGAATGGCGATACATTTGACCACAAACCATTTATGAAAAAAGAAATTTTTTGCTTCCACTAGACTGGAATGCACTTACTTTTACACTTTTTTCCTTCATTCTCCCAATTTTTTTGTCTCATATGTTTCAGAATTTTTTGTCTAAATGTTCTCTTTTAAGCAGAAAAAGTAGAAATAGACTTTTGCGTGTGCATATAAGGGTTTAAAAAGTAAATATACTTTTAGAGTTAAATAAAAAATGAATGGTGTTTGTTAAATTGGTTGCTGCAGAATATGATGAAATTGGGAAGGGCATTGCAAGAGTTAATTCAGTTTGAGGGCATTCTCCAGTTATGATTTTGGTACTTGTGTATGTCATACTGCCTATCTTTATTGCCTTGAAATTTAGTGGGGTTTTATCTATCTCTATTGATAGCAGATATTATTTCTCAGCAGTTGAAATGTCTTACATTTAGCGGCTAGAGCAGCTGGTGTTCTATGCTCAAATTTCCCAGCTCTTGTTTAATTGTTGCTTGGGATTTTCAAAATAACTTAAATTGTCAATTTTCTTGGTTTCTTTTTCATGTCTCTGCCACTGTCGATTTCCAATGGAATTGAACTTATTTAATTTTTTGATGACTTTAGTTTGAAGTTTATAATTATAGTTTTGAATAAGTTTCAACTAATTGTGGGAAAAGAGGTTAAAGCGGCAAAATTTGTTAGATTGGTTGGTAGATGAACACTTTGGCCACAAATGCTGTTATGAAAGGTTTATGTTTATCAAAAACCTATTACTTAGAAGAAAAATATCCCTAGATCTTTTTTCCTTCTTTGACCATATAGTTTTGGATTCATGGGTTGTTCAAATTTTAGCACAATGTCTGTGGCTTAAAACTTGGTGATTACTTTTCTGTAACATTTTATAGCCTTCTTTTTTTCTATTTGTTTCCATTTTGCATATGAACAATTTATTTTTGCTCCTTTTTATTGTTGTTCACTTTTGGGTTGAATTTTATAGGGGTAATGCTTCGTTTGGTACTAGTCAGTCTAAACCCAAGCTTTAGCCTTTTAGCATAGTTCAGTTTTGGACAGGTAAGCTGTTACACTTTATTTAGAAAAATATCTTAGTCAAATGGATGTACTTGTATACTAATAATTAGTAGATGTCTCTGTTGATTATGTTTCTGTTGATTATGAGAAAATGATTAAGTTTCTGTTGATTATCTTTTTTGCTATTCAACTTGCGACCCATTTCTTTGTGTTCTTATTTGGCATTAAATTAGATGGATACCGGGCTCTTCATGATGGAATTAGGTATTAAAATTATTGACATATAATAAAGCAAAGAATAGCCTTCTACTATTTTGAAGGTGCTGATTCTAACCTTTTTTCTTTCACCTTTCGTTTTAATATAACTATCTATATGAATGGAATTTTTTTTTTACAACAGTGTCTATATTGTGTATGTAATGATGTAATGGAAAATTGTTCATTTGTAGTTATTGCATGTTTTATATTATAATTAAAGATTGTTTGTTTATTCTTTGGCTACACTGATGCAGTATGCCCCGACCTATGAAATGCACAAAAACCTTTGCCCCATGCTTTTGCCTTCAGGGATAATTATATGGAAAGAGCTTGTCTGGCATATAGGTAATTGCATAGATCGGCGCTAATGTTGATATTCCTATAAGTGAAAAATGTTAGATTAAAATGGAAGGGACAATGATAAAAGAAAAAAAATCTATAATATATTTTTGGAGAATATGATAATTGTTGCTAATATTTAACTGTATGAAGTGGATTTTTGCAGTACCACTCAAGAATGCTTCTACCATTTGATTAACAAAACTACGTGTTTTGTTATTTGGGAAGCAAAATCGTCCACCCTTGAAGCTTTATCAAGATCAAAGCCTAGAAGCGTATGACCCTGGATACTAGATTTAGCACTAACTGTAGCTATTTGATCTTTGCATTACCAGCTATAAATGTATATCAACTCTTGATGCATTATACCTCACTGGATGGTATTATCATAATATTTTTGTTTGGTTTAAAATCTTGTGTAACTTGATGAGTTATTTTGTGCAAGAGTTTGACCATCCCTTTTGCTATTGATGTATTGAGAGGATAGAATTATGGCCTATATTAATAATCCTCCTCCTTTTTGGTCAAATGCAATTTACCTCACTAAGGTTGATATGTAAGCACAGTTTCTTTTCATTGGATTTCTTGAAGTTACAGGCTCATGAAAACCTTTTTGGTTATTGTACTACAAAGTAATGCGTTTTTTGGTCTTTGGATTATTTTGAAGTGTATGATTCTAATAACAAGGAAAAGGCTTGATACAATACTACACTGTGGATTTTTTTTTTCTTCTTTTTCTTATTTTCCTTTTTGAGCTGGAACAGGTTTGATATGTAATGAGAACCTCTGGAATGCAGTTTACTGGTCTTAAGTTTCATAAATGTAGCCTTTTACATTATCTCATGTACTTGTCTTTCCTTTTATGGGATTCTAGCTATTGACATGTATCAAATGATCAAGGGTAGAATTGCATCGAGGCCTGTGAAACTTTCTTTTTCTTTGTGTGTTAAGTAGTTCACCATCCCCGATGCTATTGCCATTGCTGTCCAATTAGTCAGCATGACAAAAAAGATTGTCATTTGGCAACTGGGCTGAAATTGTGGCTCTCTTCATTGCTTAATAAAATTACAAAAAATAATCACAAAGCTTTGGGTGTACCTTCATGTAACTCTTTATATTGAATATCTCAATTTGAATAATTGAACATTTCAGGGCAATGCGCGTGTTCTCCTCCTAGTAATTATAAACCGGTAAGTCGGAGAGATTGATGTAGATTAATACGACTCGTTTTACTGCTACTGTAATACTACTGCCACCTATATTCTCTGGCTTCACAGAAAGTTGTCCATTTGCAAAACTAAAAATGACTAACCAAATTTCTTCATTGCCTTTGTCAGATCCAGCAGAGCATGGATCCACCTGGCAATAAATGATCCAACAAAGCATGGAGGCACCGGGTATTCAGGACGTCAGCAATTTTCGAAACCAATTGCACAACACACAGATGACAAAGGACAAGGAGCAGAAATGGTTGTCGCGATTTTGTGCATTTTGCATGCCACGTAATTTTATTTATACACGGTACTTAACTTTATTTGTATAACATGTAACTTTACTATAAAATTTTGTAAACCCCACACACGTTATAAAAATCAAGATACAAGAAATAATCTGGATCGCACATTTTTTTTTGACCAAAGTCTGGTCGCGAACAGCTCAAGAGCAATCCTTCTGATTACCGCTCCTGCCCCTCATCCAATGACAAATGTAGATGATAGACGCAATTCTGTAGACATTAAAGCCAATAACTGGCTGTACACACATATAGATATATATATATATATATATATATATATATATATATGTATATATAGACATTAAGCCAATATCTGGCTGTAAAATGGGTATTATTCTATTGCAAGACCTATCACAATTCCAAATTTCTTCCAAGCTACTAATGTTCACCGCACAAAAATCACACAGATAGAGATCTCCACCATCAATTCTTTCCAAACACTCTTCTCGAGACATCTGTGCTACATCGAAGTCTCAAGAAACTTGTGACAGAAAAAAGATTCTTTTCAACCAGCTGGTGGGGGTCAAAAATTAAAAAAAAATAATAATTTGTTGCCAAACAAAGCAAAACACAAGTAAAACGATAGTGCGAACAAAAAGCTGCTCAGTAATAAATTGAGACTATGATTCATTTGTTTTTCACTGTTGGTATCTGCTATGTAAGTACATAGACTCCTCTATACACACAAAGGGAAACGTCACCGGACCCTTGAATTCTTCAGCAAGATGTATATGAAGATATCTTTTAACAACTCTAAAACCAAATGTTCATTAAAACATCCAAAACATCATCAACCCGGTGCAGGAAGTAATGACAAAGCGGATGGGATCAATTCTCCTAACCTGTCTCTAAAGCTCAATATGGTGTTCAACAAAGGTTTACTAGAATTGATGCCCTCCCAAGAGGCTTCATCATCGTCTAGCAGTTGGAGCTGCTTTTCGAAATATCTTCTAAGACTAGCATCCACAACATTCACTATACTAAATGATGCACTAGTGTGCATGAATTTTGTAACAAAAAACCCTGCCAGAATCTGCTGGTCAGCTTTCACAAGCTCTGCTAGAAAACATGGGAAAAGCAGTCTTGTGAAAACAAAAATAAGGTTCAAGTTGCTTTTATCTTCACTGGCTATCATATATTTGAGGCTTGACAACTGTGCCTCCTGCCACTGACGAGAGACATTCCCAAACATATAGCAAAGACACGAGAAAGTGGTGCCATAAGAAGATTTGGTGATGATAGGTACTACTATTCCAGATGATAATAAAAGAAGCAAGAATTCATAATCTTTGCCAAATTCATCCGGGATGCCTGTTTGTTTCAACTTTACCTCTACGGCTTCCAAGCACTGCAATTGTACAGCTTCATATGGCAGTAACAACATTATCTTAAGAGCAATAAAACAGTTCAATTCAAGCATAATTTGACTTAGACAACGAGCATCATCTTCATCAAGCAAAATTTGCGTGGTATTTCCTTTGTACTTATCAGCCAATCTCAGGAATTCCTCGTACCTGGAAAGCCTTATTAATTTTTTGAAGATCTCCAGCCAACATACATGTAAAGGATGAACCAAAAGAGTGCTGTTACTCTTCGACTCTTTCTCCCTAGATTCTTCCAGAAAGCTTTCCCATCCCTCATCCCAATCATCATTACTCCAACTATTTCCAATATCATCTACCTTAGGAGAATCTTTTCTTCCATACATGAAAAGTTCCTCCCACACTCCCAACATAGCTATCAAAGCATCAATCTCGGATTCAGACTTGGCAGATTCAGACACTTTTACAAAGCAAGAAACTGCTGATTCAGTAGTTAATAGATCTTCTGGTGCAATTTCCAAGCTTGGCGAGATAGCTGACAACATCTGAGATGATTTAAGGGCAACTAAAGTATTTGTAAATCTGTTAGCTGTGTCTGCAACATTTGACATCCCACAATCACTGGTCTTTTCATGATTTACACATCCACTCTGGACATTCTCCCACCCTTCCCAAGGAATAACATAGGTGTCTAGCTCAGAAGAGAACACTTTCAGCTCCTTATCTGTAGCTCTAATACACTGCATAAGCTCCAGGATATATACACGTGAGTGGCTAGGAAGCTGCAAGTTGTCAGAAACCTCTGCCAACTTTTTCCAAACAGAATCCCTGACACATTTCAATTCCTCCAAGTTCCCTTCAAGTTTACTCAAAGATGACAAGAAAGAGTGAAACTTTTGCTTTTCAAGAGATCCACTGTCTAGGTCAAGCAAGATCACCTCCAGTAAACTTATGTAAAGATGGGGGAGATCCTGGATATTGATATAATATCTTCCAGTGCTTGATGCCAAAGCCGACCCAGGCGAGAGTTGACTCAGTGCATCAGTAAATACATAGGCAACAGCTAGAAACCTACATCCTGAGAAAAGCATTGCTCTGCAGAAATTAAAAATTTCAACTATAGCATCACCATTAACGCCTGAGTTACTGAAACTAATAATGGTGCCCCAACCTTCAATGGGAGAGACTTTCCCCTTTAAAATCAAGTTAATGAATACTTTGAGACACGTCACTAAAGATTCTGAACAGAAGCTTTCATCTGAATGTTCAAGAGATTTAAGTTCCTGCATGTCACTCATCATTCTAAGCCACATATTCAATAACTTGAGAAGACACTCCTGCCACAATGAGTCAAAACATTTACTTGACGGTTTCTCAAAAGGTACCATTACTGCAAAGAATCGCATCATTATGTCCAATATACCTGGATATTCAATGAATTTCACGTATTTAAGGACAGCATTATAGGTTTGCTCAAGCTCACTCAGGAAGCAATGAAAATTTTCAGGGCTTTCACTAAGGCCATCTGTTTTAAATTGAGTTTCAAAGGTTGTCAACAAATTCAGCACATGGTGTCTGTAGACAAACTGCCATGATAAAAGACCTTCAGGTAATGAATCTCCATACAACCCGATAAGGTTGCGGACCATATCTGCCAGCGCTTCAACATTCTTTTCACTAATGTGAGAAAAGACTTCATCATTGAAGCTATCCCAGTTCAGATCTGTCAATCCAGCAATTTTCTTGAAGTTGAGGCCACCAATAAAGGAAACCCTGAAACATTCTTGGCTTACAACCTTGCTGAAACGAGCTAAATGGATGGCATCTAAGTGCATTGGACTCTGGCCAATAGTAGGAAGTGGTTCTTTTAGCTCTTCCAGCTGCAAGTAGCACTCTGCAAGTAGACCATATATATAAGCAAGCCGCTGCTTATCATGACCATCAATCAAAGGGTAGACAGACACAGTAATGACTGTTATGGTTTCTGCAGCAGAGGAAATCACTTCTTTTCTGAATTGTGAAAGATCAGCCACAATATCATCCACTGTCCAAGCCTCAGAAGTAAAAGTAGAACTTATATAGTGGAGTAGCACCTAAGAATTAACAAAAAGAAAAGAAATTTTGTAAATTGAAAAAGCAAAATTCAGAAAACTTGAAATTTAGAAATACTGACATACACTTTAAGATTTCTCGTATTAAAGACATGAGGACTGATAATTAATTTAAGCCTGATGACTTTCACAGATGATCATACCTTGGTCTGATCCAAGCCATAGGTATGGGCTAATTTTATAACATCTTCTAATACATGTTTCTTCTCCAGTTTTATGGATTCAATAAAGGAAAAAACAACACTCTCCCTGTAGCTAGTGTCTCCAGACAAAAAACGAGCTGTTTCAACACCAGGAATAATCTGTTCCAAAACCCTTGAATGATCTGCCACACGCTTTTGCTCTTCTAATTTTAGTTTCCACTCTCTCCAGAATGCAGATTGTGCCTTGTCTAATTCATCTCTTTCATCTAAATTCAACAAGTCATGTGAGGAAAACAAAAAACAAAATTATTAACTTGCTTCTCCACTATATTGGGACCAACAATAACTCAAAAGCAAAAGAAATATGAGCCTGTACTCTGGGACCAATATTTAGTATTAAGCAAAGAAAGCTGGGTCAAAGAAGATCACCTGATGCAACTGATTTGTGTTTCTGTTGGAATTCCCTAAGCAACAGCATCCTCCTCTGAGCAGGCTCCTCACATTCGCCTCTGCGGTTATGTAATAAACCATAAATCAACCCCACATTCATAATGCTCGTAATTTCGTTGTAACTTTCCCTTGCTTTCACAAATCCTTCAATAATATCCACACCAGAAAAGCCATCCACCAGATTTAAGAGAAAAGAGCATCCCATGATGTCCTCCTCTTCAGTAACAGGAGGTTCCATAATTGATTTGGCAATGGAGATGATCAAATTATCTTTTGGAGCAAAACCGTTCCTTGCCAACCAAGAGATAATAGTTACAACAGCTTGTGTTCTAACACTTATGTACTGCTTTCCTGAAACTGAGCCTGATATATGTTTTTTAGTTGTTTCTGCTTTAGTAATCAGTTCAAGTAACCAAGGAAGGTGCAAAGCAGAAAAGGACAAAATTTTCCCGTTTTCTCTAAGGATAGATTCCCATTGATAACCATTCTCAAAAGGCAAATTTTCTGCAACTACAGAGAGCAAATCTTTTACGGCATCAAGATGTCCTTGATCACCATAACCAACATTATCAACCTTTCCTGAACAAGTTCCAAAATCAACAGAACCTTGTGTACTATATAGTGGATATGAGATGGCTAAAGTACCCTGAACTGCAGATTCAGGAGGCTCACTCCCGTCAGCATCATTAAAGTTTCACACTGTCCCATCATGTCAAGATCTTTCCACCATTTAGCAGATCACCAATAGATTCTTCATCACAGTGGCTCAAAGAAAACCCTAAAAGATGCTTTCGAGAATTTACATCCATATTATCAAGGGCAGGACCTCTTGCAAGAGCAGCACATAAGTCCCAGACAGAACCATGACCCTTTTTAGAAACACGACACAGATCAAAAGCTAGTTGCAAATCTCCAGCAACAGCAGCTTCTCTTGCAATAGCTTCTTGTACGGATGATATTTCATCGTGTGAGCTCAATCCAAGAAGTTTGGCAATTTCAATAAGTTCATCAACATTGAGATAAGCTCCATCTTGACTTGTAATTGCCAACTTAATTATTTCCAATGGATCTTTCATTTGTCTAAATTGCAATGGCAGGACATTTACTCCCAGTTTTGGAAGTTTCAAGGTAAGGGCATCAATGATATCAGCTTCTGCCCTGGCATTTCTGCTACTAGGCAAGATATTAAGACATTCCTTAGCCTTCCATATCTGAAAGAAAATTCAGCAGGTTGTCAATAATTTATTCTCTATTGTCGCCATTTGAATAAAAATAATCTTCTTAAGAACATTCCAACAGGAAAAAAGCCATGCCAATAGCCCCATTGACAAGATTCCAAGCAAAGATGATTCAAGTAGCTAAAATAGTTAAAATAGATCAGATATGTCATAAGTGAGAAAATATACTTCTAAGTAAGCCAATATATTCTAATATTTCTTTCACTATAACAATCACACATGAGACCAAAAGTAGCATGAGTCATTTCCAAACTGCAGTTATATACTCCAGTAACAATTCACTCAAACAAACCCTCATCTTTGCTCCCACCCCCAAATTCACATGAAACTCAGATATCTGAGAGATGTGAGAGGATTCCCAAGAAAATTTTAGTACAGTACACCAGTGTCATGTGTCATGCCTAGAATAAGTCAATTTATAGCTCTGAAGTTAAATGTGTACTTGAAACCAGCCACACCAACTTATACACCATTAAAACATCTTTAAAATTAGAATGTATTAGACATCATTACATTGTCTCAACTGGTATTCATGCAAACTATCAATAACTGACTTGAGTTCATTGCTTAAAAATTGTCAGACATTTCAGTCGACGTAAATAATTTCCATTTTGAATGTCTTATCCCAAAAAATTATAGAGTAAGCCCACAACACCAACATGCCATCAATAGATGGAAGAAGCTTGTCTTATGCCACTGTTGTAAGACATTGATCACAGCTGGAAAACTTGTACAAACAGCAACCCACTTCAGACTCCCAACTTAATGGAAGAACAGTACAACACAACTTAAACACTTACTTCTGGACAATCAAGACTTGATGCTGAGAAGAAATACTCTCTTGCAGCTTGAATGACCAGAGTTTCGGCCTTATCTGCAGCCAAAACTACTGAACCTGTACTTTTTAAATAGTTCCTTGCAAGTGGAAATTTTCCAGCTTTAAGCAATCCCCTACAGAACTCTATCAACATGTACTCCAAATCAAGGAAGGGAAAAGCTTTTTCTTGCAAAGACTGCAAATCACGCCACATGTTAGCCCAGTCATTATCTGATCGACCCATCTGCCTCCGAATAAATTTGGAGAGTATAAGACGAAGTGTCTGTTTTACACCTTTTTCATCTGTATGTGCCTCCCTAAAATAGTTAATAGGCTTTGGCACCTGAAGACCAATACGAGAATAAGATGACAAACACATGAATAACAACCTTTGAATAAAATGATACCCAGTAGGGTATCTCCAACTGCAACATTGCAATCAATGCTTCAACTATGAATGCTTTTACATCAGAATGTAGCTTGAAAGAAATCTAAAAGCCAGACAAGAAAACACAGGACTCAGCTATTAGATGTCACTTATACTCAATTTCACAATGCATACAGTTGTTTCCCCATGTCCCAATTGAATGTCTTGCCTTTTTGGTCTTTTTCAACACAATGTCTGCTTTCCAAAATGGAGAAGTTCAAATGCTTCTCTTCTTCTGTATTTTATACATCAAAAGAGACAGCAGCCTCATATTTCCCCACTATCTTTTAAATTTGAGTTTGATTAATATGTGGGTCCATATATTCCTTACTTTCTAGTAAAACTATCATATTTTTTAACTCACATTCCAAATTTCCAAACTGAGGCATCCAATTCCACATGGCAATAGTAGAATAAAATTGACATCTCAGAAAGCTTTCGCAATTCTAAGTCTGTTATATTTTGAATCAAAAATTGTAGAGACTCTCTCCAAGCCGGCTAGTCTTTGAAGGTACTAAAAGCAACATTTTCGCTAAATCAATGTCACCCTCACCAGGAGACAAACTGAAAACCAATATGAAAGAACAATGACCTAATTGAAAAACTTCTTTTCTGTACAAAATCCGTCCTAAACAATGGCTGGCAGAGGCAGAAGACCCGACAATAATTTTGTTATAGACTCCTCTTACAAACTCCAAGGATCCAAAAGCAGGTTTACATGGTTAAGACAGTAATGAGATACTCCTTAACATCCATTTCTCTTTGTTATACATCAGACTACAAGACTAAGAACAGAAAGAAATTCCAGGAAACTTAATGGAATCACATTTTTTGTTTAAAAGGTACTCAGATCCATGAATTGAATAAAATTGAAACATAAACTGAAGATTGAAATACAAGACCAACTAGGAAAGCCCAAAGGAGCACTAAAGCAGACAGTGCTGCAAGTCTGCATCTCAGGTCAAAATATGAGTACAGAATGCAGACCAAAACATAAGCCAATTAATGCTCAAATCAAAACAGTCAAAACTACTAAAATTGGAAACATGCCAGACCAATAACCATGGTAATCGCCAAAGTCCATCCAGCTGAAACCAAAACAGACAAAACTATTTAAGAAAAGCAACACGTGAGGTCAATAAACCTGGTAAATTGCCAAAATCCTCCCTGCTTCAACGTGGCCTTCAGTGACTTTCAATCTTGTCTTGAGGTCCTCATTTCCATAACCTGTAACATCCAATTGCATTATCTTTGGAGACATTACATTGAACAATAATTATGGTCAGACTTGAGCAATTTGATGCACAGAACTTATTTAGCAAGTTGCAATTTATTATAACCAAAATGAATTTTGCAGTCAATAACCAATAGACCCTCAACAAGTACAACTTATTTATTTGTTAAAACTGCTAAAGAGCACTTCCTTTTGTTAAAAATATACTATAGAAGCCCTTCTAAACTCCTCATCCCATTTGAATGTAATTTCAGACCTTGCCCCAGCCGGGGAAGAAAATGTATTTTTGTCATCATACTTGAAAGCCATAGCCAAGCTACACAAAGAAATAACTTCCTGTTTTTTAACCTATTCATGGTTAAGGTCTGCATGCTGCTATCAGGTATGAAACTGATACCTAAGTAAAACATCATCATCAATCCAGCTACTCTGCTAACCATTTTCCACTTCAAATTAGTGAGTTGGAACCCTGTAATTTCAAGAATACAAACCTCGTAAATGTTGAAGTTTAGATAAAATTGAGGACATTGTACTCCATCTATCTGTTGAAGAGCACAAATACATGCACTGCAGAGCACAATCCACCACCTGGGCCTCATCTTTGAAAAAGTAACTATTTTCCAGATCCGTGCACCCTTCTTCAAATACTATCAAACATATCCCTAGTTTATTTTCCAAAGAAATCTCTTTTAGCCATCTAACCAGAAATGAGTCAGCTGTATTATCCATAGTACATTGGCTACCAATCAGCTCATCTGTAGAATCAGCAGCTATATGATAATCCCTCTTTTGCATGAATGGGATTGCAATATTCTTTAGTCTTCCAATTACGTCTTCCTCTGTCACTCCCACGAGCAGCAATCTGAATTTTTCATAGTCAGATAACTTCTCCCAAGCAATAAGACTAAGAAAAAAATTTCTTTTCCCTTCATTTTCATCAGAATAAATAAGCTGGCGCAGGAAAGAGATGTCCTCATAGAAATGCTGCAACTCTGAGATCCCCTTTTGATAACCAAAGTCAACCAAGCACATGCAGTTTTCAAGCTGCCCACTTAAGGTATCAATATCTCTGGCTCTATTTTTGTACCAGCTAGAAAGATCAGCAGTTGATGGCCATTGAAATCCCATGTATCTCTTGACAATTGGTTCAGTTCTAATAAGAACCCTGCTACCATGGTCCTCAGGTAGACTGTTTATAAATGAGACCATCTTATCACATTCAACCCAATCTTCCTCCCTCAGAGCAATACTTGCAGGAGGGGAATTCCCAGGAAGGAGCTGTGCATAACTCTGAACTGGAACTGTCTCAGGAATAGCAGCAAGAACCTCCAATATGTAAGGACCAAGCGAATATGGATGTCGTTTGAAAAGAAGGTTTAACGCTCCAATCTTCCCTGTCTCTGCAAGGGCTACAGCAGCGTCATTAATTGGTAAATTACGAAATTTATTGTACTCTTGAGCGAGAACCTGCAAAATGGTTTAGTTAAGGGCATAATCATTGGAACTATTTTAGCATCCTACAACTGCAAGACAAAACAATGCTAGGAAGATTACAAGACCTCCAGATTCAAAAGTTCATAAACTGATATTGTGAAACCCAAAAAAAACTGCAGGCTACCATATAATATGCTAATATAAACGACACAAGATTTTCCGGCCTGAATGTTCTCCCCTAATATCGCCCTCCAGAAATCCAGTCCAAAGTCTGCTTAAGTTCAGCAATTCAATCCTAAACACTTGTGCCCATACTACCCAATAGTCTCTTCAGGTGATCAAAATTCTGCATATAACATTGTCTCAGCATTACATTCCCTGAATTCTTTACGCAGAGAATAAGCCAGAATCACTTGCAACACAGCCTTAGTTCAAAAACTTAAATTCCCTCTTCTCCTTACTATTTCATTCTTTTGTGGTTGGGTTTTGGGAAGGATTTCAGGGTTTGTGTAGGAGATGGATGTTTATTCCCCAGTGAGTTCATCAGCCAGCTCATACTATAAACAAATCATTGAAGGTTGTGATGTTTGAAAGCAATCAGGGAAGGAGAATGGTAGGAAAAATTACTCACTCCAAACAGATGAGTCTAAGCAGTGCTCTCCGAGATGTCAAGGATCAAGAAATTGCTTAAAGAAACATAAAAACATATTGCTGCCCAAATATACAAAATAACATAAGATAAAGCTTTAGTACTTGTCTTTAAACAAGAGAAAACTTATATTTATGTATACATACATAAGTATATATATGTAGGAAGAAACAAAACTTATATTTCTTTAAACAGTGAAAATTAAAATATTATTACCTTCCCATGTTTATCCCAAGAAATGTTTCCAGCCGGTCTCTAAACAAAAGCAACTTTAATCTTGCCATACGGAAGTCCCAAACTTGGCTGCTCTCATCTTCTTGTGATTTAGAAAACCTGTAATCCTCTGTTAGGTGGAGTCCATAAGCCAGTAAAGCCTTCTCTGCATCTTCTGTTGGTCCTACACAATCTACACATTCAGACAGGACAAAAACATGGTCCTTGATAGTTGACAGCAATTTATTTATCTCGTTTACTCCTTGACTAGAAGACATCCATTGTGACTTCAACAGTTCATCTTTATCCAACCCATGATGATGAGCAAAGCTAAGAGCAACTTGATAGTCTTGTTTACGTATTAGCAAGTCATACATTTCAGAAACAGATCTTTCTGAAAGTGAAAATAAATTCCACTGCAGTTTAGCACATTCCAGCTGCTCAATAAGACGCAAGTCTGTTGTTCTTTTTTCTTCAGATGATTTATAGCTTTGCCCAGATGTACTCTCCAAAAGAAAAAGGCATCCAGACAACTTCTCCACTGTTTCCATGATAGGCATTGAGCAAACAGGATCTTTCTCCAACAATTTAACACCAGTAGGGACATCAAACATCGTAATAGTGCCATCCCTTTTTGCAACAGCAAGTACATCATCAGACCACCAAGTAAAGTCAACTAGATCATTCAGAAAATCCATGCCTCCACCAGACAAGTCATTTTTCATTTGCAGATCATACCTCTTTGTATTGTAAAGATTTGATAGGCTCCACTGCTTTTGATGAAACTTAAAAATAAGCAAGCAACCCTTAGCATCAAGAGTGCCAACAAAATTTCCCTCAGGTGAGATGAGCACCTTCGGAGAAATCAACTGATCTACACCTTTTGCTTGAGCATATAAACCTTCAAAATCAATGGATACCATGAGCTCCAAATCTGAGCTGCTACTTCTTTGCCAAAGAGATAGACTAGGTGATCCTGAGGAAATTGTCAAACACTAAATATCATAGAAGATTTTTGAGAATAAATATTAAAAAAAATTACATCAAGGAAGAGTTAATTATTTCTGAAACATGGACTATCCAGGGAGATAATTGGCTATTTAGCAAAACAGAATGCCTCTATTAAGTATTTTTGTTGATAATAGACTTCTGAAAAAAAAATCTTTCTCCTGACTTAATTAAAGTAGATGGATTCCAAATAATGCAATAAATTACAACTTTCCAAACTTACAGTATCTTAGTAAAGAACAGAATGTAGGAATATTTTACACTAGAAGACTGCCAAATGACTAGAAACAAGTGAAGAACTAAAGTTTTGTACGGTTTATCCTCATGCAAAATCCACTTTTTAAGAATAACAGGCTAACTCTGACCTTTATGCCTCTTTTTACAAGATGTTTCAAGTAATCAGTCTGATAAAAAAAATAGTTCATAGATGAAACTATTGTCTATAGCACTTGCTATTTCAATTTATATAACTAAAGTTGTTAAAAGAGAGTTCACAGCAACAATCAGTAATCACATGCTATAGGCAGTAACTCAGAGGACTTATTTGCCAATTATTTGTATATAGGCTAACCACAAAGAAGATTGAGAACAAAAGTAACAAAATTCACAAAGAAGAAAGTTACTACATCTTTGTTCTTAAAATTAACTAAACTCATTCTTAGACCATCTTTCCAATTCTGAGGTACAGCCTTTAGGGGTATGCTGTCAACTAGTTAGAGTTTCTTTTATCCAACATTCTACCAACACAAATACTTTGAGATCTATTCAACTCCAAAATTTTACTAACCTGGATGTCCTGACGTATTGGAAATGGCAACACCACTGGCACTACTGATTGTAGCGAACAAAGACAACTTTGGATGGTGATGCATACAGAAAACATTCTTTGGGAATTGTTTCTTCAGCATTACTCCAGTACGTGCAAGAGGAGCTGCAGACATGGAGGCACTTAGATCCTGACTAATTTCTAAATCGTGGAGTGAACCATCTGACGTAAGAATGCTAAAGGTACACCTGTAAAAATGTTAGCAACTAAGAGACCGACAATTGAAATAGGAAAGTATGGAAAAAGCAATTAGCAGGGAGAAGGAACCTCAAATCAAACATAGAGCTTACAAGCATGCTTTGTTCACATCATTGCCATCCTGCAAAATCAAGCACAATATTGGTAGGGAGACTTTAAGATGCTTCCCGGTGATTCTGGCAATTTCTTCTCCATTAGCTTTAATGAAATATAGAGTATTAGTGTCATCAAAAACTCCAAGGACTTCATGAGCTTCTGACCATGTACCACACGTGAAGGCACTGATGTTTCCACCTAGTAGATAAAAACAAGCAAGAAGCACTGTTAAGCTTATGGAAACGCATGAATATCAGAGCCCAACCATCAAGACTGGATTAACATGTTTATTTTTCAGGTTTTGAATCAATGATAGCACCCCTCAAATTTCTATAACTTATTGGTAAAAAAGGAAATACAACATCAACATTAGTTCCCATCATGTGAGAGCCCAAAAGATGAAAGCAATAAACAACTACAGAGATGCCACAACGCTCCAAATAATGGTCTAATTATAATCTTGTGGCTTTAGAACAAACAGTTCACCCTGGTTGTAGATAGAAGATGCTCCCAAATTCTACAAACTCATTGTAACATACATTATTTGATAATTTTCGAAGATTGGCTAACTCACTGGTAAAAGTGCCACTTGGTTGTTGATAGTCATCATCTTTCTGCAAGAACGTTATCTGATTCCTGAAAGCTACAGCCACTCGATCTGCATGGGAGAGATGAACAAAGCTGCATGCTTACCCAACTTTTTTGGATTCCTGTATTCTGCCCATCTCTCCGTCATTTGGGTGATGCCTTCATTGTTGAGGAAGTTTCAGAACAAACATCAGCAAGCAAAGAAATTCAGAGAGAGAGAGAGAGAGAAGCATGTGTGTGCATATATAGTTCCAGGAGAGAATGACATATGAACACTAGAAAATCAAGTTGAAGCAAAATGTTATATTGCTTTGAAATGGAACAAGGAACAACTGAATGATTTTGAAGTCCAAGATTATTTTGATTTCCAAATGTCACGCCAGCGTTATCAAATTAATCGATCAATAATCAGCCACAGAGTCCCTCAAGCCTAAATTACTTAAATTATATAATATTTCCAAGCCAAATTGGAATTGCCTAGCACAAGTACATTAAACATGCAGAAGACTGAATGCAAGCTGCCAAATTTGGAATTGCCTAGCACAAGTACATTAAACATGCAGAAGACTGAATGCAAGCTGAAAATATGCAAACTGAAAATGGTATAGCTTTTGCGTATACACAAGTTTGGATTCAACCCTAATAAAGGTCCAGTATCACGTATTTATAAGTACTAGTTGTACAACTTACACCTATATTTGAACATCACGAACTCAAGCAAGCATCTGATACAACTAGTGAGTTACCATTAACAGTCAGCATTAGAAGTACCTCGCAATGAAAAGTAGGAGAGTAAAGTCCTTCCGCGGCCATCGTCCAACTAAATTGGTCATAAAAAATAAGCAATCAGGATATGCAAATTTCTGGCGAAAAAAGGACAGAGCCAAGAAAATGCAGAGTGAACCTGTTGACCCGTCGGAGGGTAATTGGGGTAAGTTCCTGAAGCGTGACGCCGTACTTCAAACAGAACTTCTCTCACGCCTCCGCCCATGGATGGATTCCAATTATGCGTAGCGTCAATTTCCATTTCCAAGTTGCCGCCGGTGGGATACTAGATGCTTAAATCCCTCGCCAGGTTTCTCAAAATCTCGTCCCCTGAGAAACCATGGAAAGCGGACCAAATCCTTGCGGATCAACTGTCTCGAAAATAAATCGGTTCGGTTCGGTTCCTCTATTCTAAGCCAGAAGGTCGCCGGTTTAGACTTTCGGCCGTAAGTAAGTTAGTTACTCCTCCGTCCTACTTTGATAGTTTTGATTTTTTTCACATAATTTAAGAAAAAATAATTAATTTTATTGAAACAATCAATTTAAATAACCATTTTTCTAAAATACCTTTACATTAATTAGAGTACAACTTTATGGACACTTAAATTGATGGTAAAAAAAAAAAAATCAACTCTCATTAAATGGGACAGGTTTATAGTAGCAACAACTTACATTGAATAACGATATTTTAGAAAAATTAAAATACAACTACATTTTTCAATTGAAAAGTGGACTATAATTTGAGACAGATGAAAAAGGAAAACAGAACTATCAAAGTGGGACGGAGGGAGTATTATTATTAATAAGGGTTTGCTTAACGGTGTTAAAGTTTATTGAAAAAGTGAGGTTTAATTAGGTGGCAAGCGCTTAATTGCAAGGAGTAATAAAATGCGGGTCCGCATTTAAATAATAATTAATACTAATTTATATGTAAATCAGGTGCTAACCAATACGTGTTTGTATTTATTCCATCCCGTAAAAAAAATGACCCGAGAAAACAGCAATTAATGACGCTATTCTTTTTCTTCCTTTTATTTATTTTTCCTTAAAACCCGGTTCAACTTCCTCTACTACCAGCGAAGATACTTGCTCTGACGTAAAAAAAAAAGAAAAAGAAAATTAGGTTGAGAATATATGGAGTAACTTTTCTTTAACAAAAGAATATGGGATAATTTTACTAACCTTCATTGATGTTTTTAGCAAGTGTAGGAAGCTTCTCTCAAGTTTAAGAATTACATCTACCTCTTTTGCTTCTCAAAAGACTTAAATTTTCTCTCAAAAATTCCAGAATACCCTTTCGTAATAAAAGAACAAAATAGTTTATCATTCATCTTCTTCAACCTCTACACAGACCTAATATTCTGTAGTAAGAACTAGCCAAGCACACTCCAAACTGTAATCGCTAATCCAAGCAATGCCCGCAGCCCAAGAAATGCTGATCATTACTTGTTTCAGCGCTTGCCCAAAGCCTCGTCTGTGCTCAAATGCTTGCCCCAAAAAAAAAATTTCATTGACACTCAATCACAATCCAAATATAACCTCCATGGCTTGACAATTCTCAAACATAAAACAATCTAGCTTTACACCACCATTACCAATATTGAAGCAATGTCCCCCAGTAATTGTAAAAAGACCATATTAACTCTCACTTGACACATAATTCACGTATCATTCTCTCTTACTCTTTTTGGATGACTATGCAATATTTTATTTATAAATTATAATAAATTGAATTTTGTTTATCTTTTATTTTTGTGATTGTGATAAAGTGGGAAACGATTTATTGGCTTATTTTGACTTGATTTTTATAATTATTGGTACAATTTAATGGTTTGGGCAAGGGGTTGAGAAGGTGTTGGAAAACATATATAAAATTTATAAGAAATTGATTTTGAACATATAGAGTTAAATTGGTGGAAATATATTTCTTTTCAAACATCTTTTTTATTTTTAAAATTTATATTTTTACTGGGTATAGTATTATGATGTGGTAGTACTACAAGAAATTACTTTTTAGGTGATAGTTTTCTTGAAGTAAACAAAATAGTTTACAAATATTTTTATTTAGCAAGTAAAAAGGTAGTTTAGGATTTTTAAAAAATGTTACACAAATAACAAAAATAAGGGAGGTAAGTGAAATTTTTAAAACCTTAGGATGCCAGGTGATATTAAGAGAAACCTCAAGGGAGGTTTCTAATATTATCCCTTATTCCTCTTTCTTGTTCAGCTATGAATATGATGATCTATTTCTCAAAATTACGAGGCTTTTTCTCTTCATCTAACTTGACAATGATATTTGCCCCTCATCTAAACTTGTAATTTGACAATTTCAACTTGCTATATCTATAGATTTTAAACTTAAAAAGTGATAGGATTTAGTAGTATAGTGATTAAGAAAAAGAGGAGGAACAAGAGTAGACACCAACCATAGAGAAGATTAGTGGTTATAGTGAAAGGCAATTGTTGATTGGAGTAGAGCTATGGAAAGATAAGTGAAAATGTAAGAAGAGAAGATAAATAAGAAATTGGGTATTCGTTAAGAGTTGGAGAGAATAACCGTTTTTGGTTGGGAATTATAGAGGCGGGGTTTCATTTTTTAAAATTTAATTTTTGGTTTTATATATCCCTATAGATTATTTATTAAGTGAAGGACATTATATAATTTATTGCTCTTGGAGAAGTAGTGTAATTATTTAAGCTTGAGGAGAATTAAGTGAAATTGTTAAAAATCTAAAGAAAGGTTTTTGAAATTATCATATGAGAATATTTATTGATGTTGATTAACATTTGGACCCCATATTTTGTTTATGCCTACTATTAGACCCCTTAAACGGCACCCCTTTGGACTAAAAAGTCCAAAGTGGAGTGCAACTGGTGCTCGAGACGTCCCCCCGCGCAAAGGTTAACAAACAAGACTATGAGAGTCACTAATGGATAAAGCTTATGTTTAATAACGGTAAAGGTCAACAAATAATGATGGGGCAAAGTGATGATAAAAAAGTATCAAGGGGCAAAGTACAACTTATACCTAATTAACTGCATGGGATTTAGTGCGATTAACGCTATAAAGAATGATGAATGCATGAGAGGCTATAGGTGCCTTTGAATTCCCAAAACTAGAAAAAAAACAAGAAGAAATCACTGAGTTTTGGCTCAATGATCACAACAAAAAAAGAACTTAGTACGATCTCCGTTGCATAAGAAACTCGTGATTAACAAGCCCTGATTGTGATGGTGATATTCAATTTTGGCAGCGGAAAACTTACAATCCAATCTAACCCCCGAGGTGTGAACTTCTTGGTATTATCTCAACCCACAACCTAAAGAGTTAACGAACCAAGGTTTTGGTAGAACAGTTCCACAATCAAGTGCGATTTTTTATTGATAAGCCAAAGTTGAACACTCAAGAGAACCTCTAAAGTATTCAAAAGGAGCTCACGAAAAATCAAGAGAGAATCTCTCAATTTTAGCTGGAAAATTCGATTAATTATTCTGGAAAAACGTTTTAACTCTTTTATAGAATTTACAAGACACGAAACCAACTCCAACTAGGAAACTAACTTGACTTTCTTGGGCCTAATGGAAACGGTTAAGTTGGCCGAGCTTAATGACTCTAAAAGCGACATGAAAATGACTCAAAGTAGCAACTAAATGATTCGGTCTATCCTCAAGACTAAACTAGTCGAATTACATCAATTTTAACCTACTTAAGCAACTACTAAACAAATGACTAAACAACGAATCTAAGAGCTAGTTTGCTGGACCACTTGAAGCAATGTAACAATTGATTGTTCTTCTTGATTAAGATTTTCAACCACTTTAGAACCTTCAATTGATTCACGAACAACATGAACTAATGTATTGAGTTGTTCTTTAAATTTCTTAACACAAGCTCTAGTAATCGGTCAAACTGGAATAATAACTTGATCATTACTCGAACCACGAACTTAATTATCAACGCCTCCAATCTCGTTGCTATCAGGACTAAAACCCTTTTTGAACTGTAGATTAAGGATTCGAATCGTACATGTTTCGAAAAAAAATTCAAAAGAAAGTATCAGAACATTTTTTTAATCCCTATAGAACAAGATAGATTATATTATATGCAAAAAATATTAAAAGAAAAAACAATAAGGAAAAAAAAAGGGAAAGATTCTATCAACTCTCGGAGAAGGTATCCACCTAGCTAGCTAGCTAGACTACAGTTGCCTACCCTATGAGGCCTGGAAAGGTTAGTTTCCTACCCTATGAGTAGTAAAATATGTCTACAGACGAAAAAGAAAAGGAAAAAGGGTTTGCTGAAATTGAAGCAGACGACGACCACCGAATTTAACAAATGTACAATTTGTTCATCATTGAGACAAACTTTTGTGCCCACTGCTTTAAGATTAGGTATTCTCTTTTCTCAATAAAAAAAAAAAAAACTCAAAAAAGGAAGGCCCTCTCACTTCCTTTGAAAATCAAAAGTACCAAAATATAACTTCGCGGCGTGAAGGTTAGTTACCTGCACATTTGCTAGTACTAATACGTACCTAGCTAGCTAGCGAGCGTCTTAAGTAGGAACCCAATTAGTTGGATTCGCTTTTTGCACCATTAAGGGTGGAAATTAGCTAGCTTTCTGCGCAGACCTTTTCAGCAAATCTGTCTTGATCTGAATCACCATTGTAATCAATCAATAAAAAGAGTGAAAACGCTCATTGCCAATTTCTAGTATTGCAAATTGTTGATGATGAAATGGTAAAGGTGTCGTCGATTTGTTAGGTCACGCATGTTTCCGGTCAAAGAGTGATTAGCCAATGTTGTTGTCCCTGAATGAATTAATTTGACCATGAAATATTATCAATATAGTACTGCAAAATGTTACACGACAAAGACATGGCAACAAATCCGTACAAAAATCACGTGCGATTTTTCAAAGTATCCTCCACTATGCTCGAATTTTTTTTTTTTTTTTATAAACAAAAATAAACTGGAAAGGACCGTTAGTGGATTCTTGGTCTTAGTATCTTATGATAATTTGTTCTTTCTTAGCCTAATTGACTGGGAAATGATAATTTGTTCTCTACAGACGACTGATTGACCAGGCGCAGGAATTGCTTTCTCATCTCTTATAGTCAGTCCTTCGCTGCGGGAGCCATTTCACTGCCGGACAATTGTTTCAGACATATCAAAGTTAAGGAAGGTGGTTGGGCATATACGGCAAATGGTCACTTTCTGGCATTATAAAAAGAGGCGAGGCAGCACTCTTCTTGATCATCTTCAAGAAGTAAAGACTCTTTCTGCCGCAGGGGAGAGAGTGAGCCAAATTAAGGGAGAAGCAGACATGGCGTGATACTGGTTGCGGCTCATAACATTCTGTCGTGGAGCAGAGCAGAACAGCTTGAAGATGAGCCGAACCAATATCACTCTTGTATGCTTCCCGTTCAATAATTATCCGCTTTAACTAACGTGTTCCGTCTATAAATTCTTTCTCATTGATCAAGGCCATCTGGAAGTACGTGATCTATAAAGCCTTCACCTTTCTTCTTCTTCATTTTTAAATCCTAACAATATTGCTGTATAGTAATTTGCAGGTTTCCGGCCGGTGCTGCAGAGAACAAGAAAACGTTTCGAGCCATTAAGTGCGCGCTCACTTTGTGGTTTCTTTTGCTTGATCTTGCCATCACTACTTCTCTCCGCAGCCGCAGGGACCTGATTTCCAGTAACCAAACTTTTGTTGGAGCGTACTTCGATTTGGAACAGTTAGATAAATGACTGATATTGCATCATACATAACCGATTATAATTTATATCCATCCATCATTTCAACAGGGTTTAGGTCATTTTTGGGCACCATTTTTACGGGTCAGAATTTAATTACCAAGGGCTATTTTCTACTTTATGTATTCCCTCAGTAACTCCAAAAACAGATACTAATATCCAACTTCACCGGCCCGTAACATGTATAATTAATCTGCTTGAATGATTATGATGATATATGCTACCGGTCGATGTATCGAGTACTCGCCAAAGCCACGCACAGACTTTCTTCATGCTTCTAAGTTTTATGCTGACCAAAAGATTGCGAGGTTTTGCTGTTTCAGCAGTCCGTACAAACGATTAATATTTTGTTTATGACGATTGTGCATTCCCAGCCTTCTTTTGACGCGCGACAAGCTAACTACGGCTTGAGTAGTAGTAGCCTGCTATGTCTTTGCTAAGTTTACGGGCAGGAGGGCGAGGAACAATTGCTTAGTATACAAGCAAATCAAGTTAATTACAAGCAAAGGCAAGAAGATCTCTGCTGAGGTTACAGAATATCCCATCAATTAAAGGATCGGGAGTTCAAATTCCCTCTACTTCCTTCATGTTTCTTTTTCAACATAAGTAGATAAAGAGCGAAGGGCTGTGGTGACCTGGAAGTATTTCGTCGTCCTCTCACGTGCCAAGCATGTGAGTTACCAGCCTTTTTTTTTTTGCGCAATGCGCCAGCCGTCTGCATATACTTCCTCTCTAGGGTTTTCGTAAATTTCCTCCGCTGCGCCGGCTCTCTTCTCTTCTTCCTTTTCTCTTCTCTTTTTTTTTCCCGTTGCTTCCTCTTCCTCTCTCCTGTCTGTATTTTTTCAGACTCTCTCCATTCCCTCATCCTTCGCCGCCACATCATCTCCCTCTCCGACACCCAACATCACGAGCACCCCATCTCCCACCAGCCCTGGGATTCTATGACTTCCAATCCCTCCGCTAAATCCTCGCCATCATCAGCATCTTTCACTGCCTTCCTTCCTAGATCTCCACTCCCTCGCCCTTCATCTCCTCAGACTCTTCGTTCCCTCCCTTGCCACCATATCATCTCCCTATCCTCTATTAGCTACCTAAAGGATGCCCGTAAGGTGTTGGATGGAATGCTTCACAGAGGCGTCGCTTTGACTATAGTTGGTTTTGGTGTGTTCGTAAGCCCACTTTTACCCTTTCCTCTAAAAAGAGGTTGTCAGTTCCTTCTCTCTCATTCTCCAATCAACTGCAAAGCTAATGTTTCCCCGATTCTCCCTTCAATTTTAGAAAATTTTTGGGCTCTCCGGGACTGCAAAATCTATGGCTCTTTTATCTGCCCACGGATTTGCTTGCAGTTGCCGAAAAGCCTTACATTCATAGATCGATATAATTTCACAGTGTTCTGTATATATCTCTAAGTTTTTTAGTAATTTTAGTTTCAGAGAATCAATGACTGTTACTGCAGCCATGGATTAGAGGTATCGTTTATTTTTTGTAATTTTAAAAAATTTTATGATCTTTGAGTCTTCTTACTATTTTTATGTATTTTTGTGTTTCGTTTTTTCCTCTTTGTATTTCTTCTTGTTATATATATATTTTTAAATTTTTATGTTCTTTGATTTTTGTTACTATTTTTATGCATTTTTTTGATTAGTTTTTTTTCCTCTTTGTATTTCTTCCTGTTAATGGTGAATAAACTGAAAGTTGATTTTTTGAAATTTTGATATTGCAGATTTAAAATGCTCGATTTGCCTAGAGTTCAGGTGGCAAGGAAGCTTTGATTTTGATGCCCAAAGTTAGAAAGCCTAATTATACCTTTGTGTAAGGTCCAGCTCATAGTTATACATTTATTCATTTCTTATTTCTTTCATCCGAAAAAGTTTGGTTTGAATGAACAAGCTGACCATCCATTTTCTTTTCTTTGACTAAAGTTCCTTCATAATACCTGTTGGCTATGATAATCTCATTGATCAGATAGCCTAGATCATAACTTACCCATTGCTTCAGTATAGTATTGTGCAAAAGTATATGTAATGTGCTTCAGTATGTTAACTGAAATTGAGTTGCCAAGGGTTTCATCTTGCTTCAAACATATAGTAAAATTCGCACTCAATAAACATAAACTACTTAATTGATAAGTGGTCCTAGAAGGATGATTACAAGTATAAACTTTCAAAAGTACTACACCATGACAGCAAGATTAGAGAGGGTAGGACTGAGGGAGTTTGCCGGGTGGGGGAAGAGGAAATGTTGTTGTAACTCTTCTTCCTAGGCTTTCCCATTTAATGTGGAATAGCTTTGCAACTCAATTGCTTGGTTAGCCTCTCTCTTTGCCTGGCACAAGAAATTAATAATCTTCCCTTAAAGCTCATCCATAATTTTGCCATCATCTTTATTAGCACTGGAAGAACTAAAACTTCAAAATCCTAACTGTCAAAATGGTAGCTACTTTTTACATAATTTTTGGGTCTAGCTGAATCCTATTCCCCTGTCTTGATGTTTTATATAGATAATTTCAGATTTTTTGTATTCTCATTTTCTGTTTCGGTGTATTTTAGCAGTTAGAAATGAAGAGATCAGAAGTAAACATAATAGGTTTTTCTCCTCCTAGAAAAAAGAAACCCTCCTCTTGTTTGGCCAAGCACTGTTCTGATAATGATATTTCTCTCCCTGTGTCCATAATTTTTCGAAACAAAGGAACCAAAAGGAACAGACATTTTCTTTTTTTCCCATCCTTGAGTTTTTGGCTTTTCAAATAATATGCCTAATAAATATGTTATGATTTTGTTGCTGTAGAGAGATACTGCTCTTCGTTTCCTGTTGCAATACTTACCAGAATATGCAAATCCAAGGTATGTTCTTGTGCATTCTCAAAATGCAGCATTCATTTGAGCTAATGAATCCTTTGCTCATAGCTAATGAATTCTTTATGGTATGTACATCAAGGGATGAATGATGATTACAATTGGTATAAATGATGTAGAACTACCTGTTTTAGTCATCCTTTAATTGTGTTTGTTTTCTTTTCCTAATTTTTGTGCCATTTCTTTTGTTTTGTTTATTTTTTGGCTTATTCTGCGATTGTTTTGTGCCACAAGTTCAGTAATTGTTATACTCATCTTTCTGTTGATTATGTAGGTTATTCTTCTGTGCTCAACAGAGGTTGTGCTGCAGCGAAGTTTAGCCCTTTTATGTTACGGGATTTGCTTGCCTGAAGTGTAGTGAATTTGGGCAATCCCTGATAAGTCACCAAAGACTGACAATGAACATGTTAGTATCATCTGTTAGGTCAATATCAAAGCAGCACCTGTATTAACATAGATTTGCAATTGAGTAATTAGAGCCCCTCTATCACCTGTTCTATTTGTTTTTTACTATTTTTCTTCTATAATGTAGCTTGAACGTCATGATAGAACTGTTATAGGAGGGTATTATATCAATATACAACTATTGGTCTCATTAGGGAGTGGAAAATATTGTAGTACATGCTATGATTTGTGTACAGATTTTTTCCCCATCATATTCATTACTCTTATGATGTATATTTGCAGGCAATCACTCTGCCAAACTGCCAGAGAATAGTTACTCATGATTGCTGAGGTTAGTTTCCACCATGAAATGTGAATGGAATGCCAAAAAGTTAATGACTTTTGTTCTTTTTTATATATTATGGACCAATCGCAAGATTAAAATTACAGTCAGTTTTCTTTGTTTTGGTTGCTTGTTGAGTCATTCCAAATGGAATGCCAAAAAGTTTGACTTACTTTTGTTCTTTTTATATATAATGGACTGATCGCAAGAGAGAAATTACAGTCAGTTTTGTGTTGGCTGCATGCTGAGTCATTCCTAATGTCTATTTTTTTGCTTTGTTTTAGATGTTTGGTGTGTTGCGATTATTACTAGTGAAGTTGCACTTGCTGACAGCCTCAAATCTTCTGTTTTCTCATGAATTTTAGTTTAATTTGGTTGATCTTGTGGAAACTGATAGAATATATATATTGCCAACAAAAATGCAATTTTTTCCCTAGATTCAAAGAAGGTTAACTGTCAAAGGTTAATGGTTGTGTTTTCATATGGCTATAAATAATGAAATTTTTTCTAAAATCACGGTCAATGTTTTGAGTATGTTTGAACTTCGTCCTTGAGAAAAAAACCAGATTTTCAATAAAATAAGTTCTTGTTGATAAGAATCCAATTTTCAATGCAGTTTTGAATTTTGTTTGAGTTTGTACCTCAGATATTTGAGTTGAATTGCTTTTGGTATTTGACATTGTGACATATGGAGGAAATTTTGTGCTTGTTGTCTATTGATTTTGTATGAAACTGAAATTCTTTGTGTGTCTATTTTTCTATTGAAGGAATAGAATTTGGATCGTTAAAAATGACGTTCTTAATGGTTGTCATGGTCTTATGCATACCTTACATTGTGGGGCTGATCTTTTGCAATGGAGTCGAGAGACAAATTTACATTGTGGGGTATATTGGCTATTTATTCTTATGCTGTTTATGATTATCCTTGTGATTTTTTGCTTCAGAATGTTGAAGTGCAGGATCATGTGGTAGAGCAGCTAAGAAGGAGGAATCTGTTGTGCTGTGTTAGGCATTCATGTAGTCTGATTAGGAGTGCGACTCAATGTTAAATTGATTATTGTAATTTTTTAATCTGTTTAGTCTTTTTCTAGAGAACAGTTTAGTAGATGTTTTTAGTTAATGTGTAGATATCATTCTTATAAAGAATTCAACCACAAATATTTTGTAGTAGTTAGGTTGTTGATTAATATGGCTCAAATGCCATTTTAGTTTGTACGTGGCTTAATTTTTTATAAGTATTTATGTACAATTTTTTTTTTTTTTTTGCATTCTATGTTAATCTGTTTTGTGGGTGATCATTTGTAACAGCCAAAATCTTGACTTGCAATTAGTGGTTTATGTGTTAAACTACAGCCAAATAATGATTTCTAGATAAATTACTATTTTTAATACCTCATATATTATGCTTTTTGGTCAATATAAAACTGGAGGGCATTTTCGATTTCCATCGCGCGAAGCGCGTTTGTGCCTCCTAGTGCTAAGAAAAAAGATATATCAGAAAAAGAAAAACTAAGGTCTCTGCGATCAGACGTATGTAATGTACTTCCCAATACAGAAAGAAGTACGTCTCCCATGTTTTTTCACATTCATAGAGAGCAGTAACCTAACCTGCCTAATGGATCTCACAGCACTTGCTTATTCTATTTTGTTCAGTTCTTGCAGTAGGGCTGTCAGAAACCCTCGTCCATTCCGTAGATTGGAAGTAGGAATTTGATTGGCTACCGTAGACACGTGTGATGATGTGTGATGGAAAAGAAAAAGCAGAATTCTGTCGTGTACTGCAAAAGCTATATTTTTTAATTTTCTATTATATATTATTTTTTTGAAACGGTTGTATTTATTGTTTATTGAATTAATAATTAGTGAATTTTAATAAAATAAAAAAGAATTAAAACATGATATTTATGAAGGAGAAATAGCAATATAATAAAAAGTGGGACAGATAGTGACACAGGGTGTGAGACAGAAGATCTGTTGCGCATCTTCAGTTTACGACAGAAATTAGTTAGGTGTGGAATACCCAATATAAATATAAAATATTAAGGAAGCACGTACATACTAACAGTAATACCGAATTACTTTTAAGGATGGATGTTAATATAGGCTTACTTTCGGACGTACTACTACGAATAAAATATCCATTGTCATTTTCCAGCAGCTTAAGTTATAGGGATAATTTCAGAAACCTCCCCTGAGGTTTCTGACACTTTCACTGACATCCCCTGAGGTTCTCAAAATTTCACTTACCTCCCTTGCTTTTGATTTTGTGGTAACAATCCAGTCCAAATCAGATTAAAATATTATTTTCATGTGTGAGAAGGTATTTTTATTCCATAGCTACCCTTTGCAGAAGTTGTATTAGTAGAAGATTCAAAGAAGAATAAATGATTTGGACTAATTAGTAAAGTTGAGGGGGGGTAAGTGCAATACAAAAATTGCATGCACCAGATGTGCCATGCAACAGTTATTTGGCAGATTTTGCAACGGCTAGCTGCAAATTGCAACGGCCAGAAGGTTTGCTGTTTCAGTAGCAATAACATATAAAGCAAAGCAACTTAACTACCTCTGAGGTTTCAAACTATTAACATTCTTTGCTACTAATTTGGAGTGATAACAAGTGCATTTGCTGTGCTACAATTAGAGCTCTGAGTAAAAAGTTTTAGCTGCAACCATGGCCTCTTCAAGCCATAGGGGAGAATCATAGAATTCACCTACATCTTTCTCCATTAAAAACAGGTTTTGCCGCTGTAATCGCAAAGCAACCGTAATGATATGAGAGTGTGAAAGGAATCCAGACAAGTTGTATTTCTATTGAGAAATTTCCAACTTTGTGATGAATTTTAAAAAAATTCTACAAAAGGGGTGATTTTGGGTTTAATTTCCGTCAGGGGGGTCTTCGCATTTGTGAATTTCACAAATGCGAGCTCTGGTTATTGAGCTCGCATTCCACGAATGCGAGCTCTTCTCGATTTTTTTTTTCCTTTTTTAAGAGCTAGGGAATTATTTCTAGAAGCAAATGCGAGCTCTTATCTTTTTATTTTGGTATTTTTTGAGAGGTAGGGAATTATTTGCAGAAAGCTTCTAATTTTTGTTTTAAAAATGTTGCAAATATTTAAAATTTTGCAAATAGCTCGCATTTGTTAAATTTGACCTGCAAAAATTGTATTTAACTTTTTTGTTAGATTTCGCATTATAAGTATGACTTGTAGAAAATTAGATTCAAATTTAGATGTATTAGGGTTTTAAAAATATTATGTAAGTGATAAAAATTTTATAAATTGTAAAAATAAAATCAAACTGCTTGGATAATTAAATGTTATATTTGCATAAGAAATAATACAATAATCATAATAATGATAATACAATAATATTGGTGTAATAAACTGCCATTAATTTAAATATTTACTTATAATGCCCAAAGAGCCTAATTACCAATTTTTTCTTCTCGCGCTCAAATATAACATTAACCCGCATGCGAGCTAACCTTGAAATAGAAAAAACATAGAATCCGCTTGCGGGTTTCAGGAGTATTCGGATATTCTCATATGCACCTATGCAAATCGAACCAACCGGATATCTTATCCGTATCCCATTTTTTTAAATAAAAATCTTATAAATTTGAAAAATAAAATCAAATTTAGATGTATTAGGGTTTTAAAAATATTATATAAATCAAGTTTCTATTATTGTTGTTAAGCTTAATTAATCATATCAGATGCCATTATGTAACTAAACGGTAGTAATTAACCCCAACTACTTGGGATATATCTGTAATTTTGGCCCTGATGACGTCAGAAAAGGGGCCCAATTTTTTATCAAGGGAGGTAAGTGAAATTTTGAGAACCTCAGGGGATGTCAGTGAAAGTGTCAGAAACCTCAGGGGAGGTTTCTGAAATTATCCCTAAGTTATACTACTACTATCTATATAACTCACGAAGCCGAAAGCAAAGCATGTCATTTTCAAGAATGCGAAAAAAAAAAGGAGGCTGTTTGACGTTGAAACTTTCAAATTCACCTGCCCCTTTAATTTTTAGATTATCCTCTTATAATGTATGGTGAGGTAATTTTCAAATCCCATAGACATACATCATCTCCATGACAGAATCACTACTGACTAATTAATTAATAGAAATTAAACAAAACCATCCCTAGGCAGTAGGCACAAGACATCAAGAATATGTGCAAAACAAGTTGGTCGCTTAATTGTCCTTTAGCTTTAAATACATGTTCTCCAAGATACTCTGCTTTGTCTTTTACACCAAGAAACACATAGTAATATTAATTTTATTGTGCAGAAGAAGGTCGTTGTACGTCGGCAATTGCTGGAACTGGAGGGAGGGTCGTTATACTTATACATACGGTCTTTAAAGGCGGCAATTGAAGAGTCATAACTTGGAGGGAGGATGGATACAGGCAACCAACTTCTACGTTGGTATTTCAAGATTGATTGATTGATTTCCGAAACGAATGTTTATGAGCCAAAATTAAGGTTGTGTATGGATTGCATTTTCTGTCATTTTTTATGAAAAAATTACTATAGCAATTTGATATATGTGAGAAAAAAAGGTGATAGAAAAATATGATCACGGAAAACAACAATATTTTCCGACGGAAACAAACAATCCAAGCAGCATACAGTGACCAAAATCGTATAACAATATATATATATGATGGTTTGATTGAACTAAACTAAATATGTATGGTTACTGTTTCTGTGACCCAAATATTGTCGAAAAAAATATTTTAATTAATGCCACGTAATTAGCATGCTCATGTGGCGATTTAGGTTTGTAATGAGAAGCCAGTACCGTTCTAATGTTATATCTTAATTAGAAGATTCTAATGGTTCAACTCCCAAAAAAATCCAGATCTTCTCTCTCCATGTTTCTGCTAAACCCATATAATATGTAGGAAGTAGGAACCACCCCAACCAGTGAATAATCACGTCGACTCTCGGACTTTAAAACCACAAATCAGATCAATTCAACAACCAGTCCACCGATCACAATTCCGCTCACCACCGGACTTTAAAACCACAAATCAGATCAATTCTTCCTCTGTCGCATTTTTCTTCTTCTTCCCCCCGCGGCTTTCACAAAAGCAAAAGCGATGTATTAACTTTCTCCATTTCTAATCAGCCTCTCCCCTCCGCAACCCTCCTCAATTTTAAGCAAGAGACGCAACAGCCAGGATAATCGCAGAAAGCATCTTGCACCCAAAGACAACGCGTGGACGAGTCACTTCACAGTCAAAACTTAACAACTGCAGTTTCTCATAAAATTGGCAAGCCAAGAGCGCATCTATCAAACGCAAAATATAGAGGAATTAAGATGGGTAATTGCAGTGCTCTAATAAATGACACCTGAAAAGATAGTTCTTCCTCGTAGATAAAAATTACACTGAAGCAAGGGGGGAAAAAAAACTATGGCAAACGAACTATACCTTAGAACAGTAGTGCCTATTCAAAACAAACCAAAACCTAGGCACACAATCACCGTTACTATGTCTCCAAGAACAGGTGAGAACCGTCACACAGAAGTAGACTCGACAGACAGACATAATCCAACTGACAGGAAGTCGCCCATTACATGAACTGGAATCACAACCCTTTAAGCGGAAGGACCATACCTTGCACTCCAGCCAAACATATCAGAGAAGTCAGACACGCGTAACTAGAATGGATCCAAAAGTAAGCCACGGAAGTAACAGAGCGCTGAAATTTACAGCACATCATCACCTGCCAAAGGAAAGCCACGTGTTGCACTATCATTAGAGGTGCCATGATTACTGATGCTAAATATCTATTTATAACGCATAGAAGCAGCCAGAATATAAGCAGCTTGAAATCATAAGAAAGCAAAGACACCAAAAAAGAGCCCCTAGAAACTTCCTAGGTAGAAAAGCCGATAAGGCTATCCCAGCAAGTAAAGACGATAATCTCCATCCTGCAATACAGATAGCAATCAGCGTACTAGCAGTCTTAACAAGAGAGCACTCTTTTAGTGAAAATGACAAATATATGTTGGACCTGACCTTGCCCACTCCAATCAGCTTCGGTATTTCTGAGGAAATGATTAAAACTAACATTCAAGGATATTCAGTTTCCGATTCTTGGTTTATCTTCTATGCCTGATCCCAACGACAGCGGCAAAGCTGACATGAGAATCTCGGAAGCTAAAAAAGTTTGCCCTTCTCCTGCACACCACCAAAGCTCTACATGAACTACATTCTGTAGAAGTATTTAATTCATTTAGACATGCAATATAAAAACATTAGCATTTATCAAATCTCATATATCTTCTAACATAACATATTTGACAGGTACCAATTGATTCAAACTATGATATAGACACTAAATGTGATCCCCACACATTTCTGTTCAACAATCATCAATTTAGTTTGCAGCTCATTTTCGACATAAAATCTAAACGGTTTTTGAGATTTACTAAGATCTAGGGGTTGTTCTTTAAACAACAGTTTGGTTTGACTTAAAGCTCGCTATCTATCCTCATTAGCTATTCCACCTACTTAATGCAGCTTTCAAAACCATTCTTTACAAGCAAGATCAGAAGCTTGGATGCAAAATTTTGGTTTAAGAAGAGTAGTGCAAGGCAATTTTCTAGAAAAACCATTAAACAAAAATTCCAACAGATACATGCATACAAGTCTCAAGCCACATTTCAATTTATTCTACTTTATTTGTAGAATTAATATTCATAAATTACTTATTTTATTACTTTTAGGATCTATGATGCACTTTTAGACTGATAAGTAATTGATGGAATTTGAAAGTAATCTTCAAGCCCTCAGATAAGTTTCCAGTTTTTAGTAACCTCTTTCCAAAAAGCACTTTTACACACTTACTGTCTGTTTCCTTTAATTCCAATGGTTATACTCTCATTTTAAAGAAAGACAGAAAGGTAAGTAAGTCCACTTACTCTTTTTGAAAAATGACTAATCTTACGTGTATCAAAAACTAAAATGGCTACCATATCGTCAATCTCAGGGTCCCTTGGGACTGTAAAGACTAATGTATCTTTTTAAATGGCATAAGTCAGTTTAGAGTCATCATTACAAAGGTGATTATGAATTAATTAATTTATCAAAAAGGGGGAGAGAGTAAAAGCCATCCAAAAGTGGCCTAGCAAATTTGGAAAATCATTAATGTAAAGCTTAACTAGTATTGCAGTGAGACAGCTCATTGATGACACGATAAAAGAATCATTGCTGCAGAGAGAGAAGGATGACAACTATGAACTACCATTGTTCAAATCTATTTAGCAGTACAAAGTTTCACACCACAATGAACAGAGTGTTACCAGAACCTACACGTAACTAAGTAAGACAAAATAACAAAGCTCTGAGAGTGTTATCAGGACCTACACGTAACTAAATAAGACCAAAAAACAAAGCTCTGCATGAATGCTAGTTTCAACCATATAATGAAAAATCAAATTTACTTCTCCCACCCACAACGTAAACAGGCAAAAAAGACTAAGAAGGCAACAATCTTAGTACCAATACCTATAGAGTGGAACTAGCTATAACTCGTCACACATTATTTGAAGGCCTACCAAGGGGAGATGGCACAAAGAAAATTAGAGGGAAGGGTGAATGTATTGACCTCTAGAAAGTATCACGGAAATCAGGGTTGTGTCAAATGTCACGGGAAAATTAGCCAGTTGCGTTCAAGGTTGGCAAGTGGAGAATAATCAGTTTCCCTTAATTGTTTCTCTAAAAGCTCTCAATATTAGTAGCAAACTTACATATCTTTTCACCTGATATGGTGATTAATATTTAGCCTTAACAAAGGACCACAACTTGAAGAGATACAAAAACTATTAGCTTTTCTCTTTTAGCAAGTAAGATGTTCACCGAAATCTTATCCTGCAGTCTTAGAAGGTGCAGTAAATGTGATTTACTTAGTAGCACATTTTCTAACGAACAAAATTCCATTTTTTACTACAGCCTTTAGATAGGCTAGTTGTGCTTAGTGAAGCATCATGCAGAAAAGATTGAAAAGATCAGCTATTACTCCAATTACGATCTAAGCTGAAAAGAGACGGAATCTGTATTACTGCACTACGATGTTATAGTAAATTTGGATCCCCTTCTCCATAGCTCAGTTTGTTATGCCTCAAACAGCATGTGTGCTTTGACATTTGATGCAGAAAATAACACAACTAATATGCATAAATTTTGGATGCAGCCCTAGCATTAAATGGTCATTTTGGAATAAGTATAACAGAAGAACTCTGAAGAAGGCATGACAGGACTAACTAGGTAAATTAGTTTTCTGCCATCGTTAATATGGCAAACTTTAGTTGGTCTATTACAGATTTTATGGCTTGAGTAAGCTTGTAGCCTCATTTGCTTACCAGCCTTGAAATCTTTCTGCAAATGTGACATTCTAAAACTTTCGAAAGGGGGCATTGTCAAGTATATGGACAACAGCCGTGACACATAATCTATACATGTAATGGTGCAGACAATGACTAAAAAGATTTAATAGAATCTCGGAGACTACTTCCCACCATTAGAATAGCACTACTACAGTCGCTAAATCCTGGCTCAAGTGACTATCACTTTGATTTGCTTAGCATTGCTTTTCAACCCATTTTCCTTGTCTTTTTCTTTCTTTTTTCCCCATTTTCTGACTGCTTAGCACCAGTCCAGCTCACAAAAAAAATCGTATAAACTTGTCGACAACTAAAAAAATCGTATAAACACGATAGCGAACAGAACATGTACCATATGCAGAGTACTATGCTCTAAAATATCATGATATCCTGAAAATCAAGTTAGTAATTTAAAAGAGTTTCATAAGATTCATATGTAACAACTCTTTAAGCTCTACATGGAAATTATGGTAATATCCTCAGATAGAAACACTAGCCATCCAATAAACATGACAACATCAGAGTCTAGTGAAAGTCTGAGACAGAAAATAAAGAAAAACATAAGCTAAGCGGCAATTTAAACTCCAGCATCCAACCTTGAAAATGAGAACCACCCGATTCAAGCTGATCCCAGGAAAACCACCATCTGGAGTCTGTTCTAACTTACACAATCTGAGTGCCTACAATAGAAGCAACATTTTGTGAAAACCAAAATAATACAAAGATATTCAAAACTCAGTACACTTTAGTCACCAATTGCTGCGGTGGTTCTCAGATTGCAGTTGCCATAAACTTCTACATAAGAGAGTGTAGAACAGATCACCTGTCACCTTATACCTCATCATTTTCAACGGTACCCACCAGCCAACCTTGCAGCCGGGTGACGAGCAAATTGCAATATCAAACGGACAGAAAGAGGATCAAGCTCATCAAATTTGTAACCTGCAAATAATATTTGACTACTTCACAATTCATATCTAAAATTAGTTTATCTGACAGGCTCATAGACATCAACAAATCACAAAATCCAGCTATTACCACATCATATATACTCAATTCTCTCCAATGAAAACGTCCATATGTTACACTACCTAGTTTGGAAAACCAGTATGAGTACATATTTGGAGGTCCATCAAGGGCATGTAAAATCCTGTCTAAATTCCATCCATTTTCTAGATGGCAACTGGTTTTATGCCGTTGGAGGTGGTGTACCTTAAAAGTCGCAATATTCCTCTAGCAAAGAGCACACTAACCCAATCACTGACATGATACATAATCATCTTCTTTCATATATGTCATGAATAACAAAGATAGTAAGGCTACCCTCACAACCACCAAATAAAGCATCCATTGCTATATAAGAGTGTGATTATCATCTCACCTTGCAAAGCATCCTTAACAACAGCTGCATGAGCGGGACTAACAAAATCCACAAAACAAAGTACTGATGGATCACCACCATGCTGCACGAGTCGCAAGGCGGTGATTTGAGCAATAAATTAAACAATAAATCACAAACATAAATCCAAGCAAAGGCTTACATATTTTGGCTCTTTCCTTATAAGTCTCAATTCTTGATAGCCTTCAAAGCAGCGAAACAGATCTGCAGAAAATGGAGTAAAGGAAACAACAGAAGAACTATAGGAGTAAAACCACTAGTTTGCAGGTCACAGAAGGATACGAGCAACTTCCCGCCGTCTACAGTCTGAAGGCAAACCCAGCACAAACAATGTCCTGGAAGCATCAGATGGAACAGGATTTGTTGGTATTCCACCCTGCAAAGTCATGCTTTGGCTATCCTTTCTTCTTGCTGGATTGGCTCCCATAACACTGAGTTGAGCTGGATTGGATCCCATAAAACTGAGTCAGAGCTGGATTGGATCCCGTAACACTGAGATCAACATGATGATCTTTAAATCCGCCATCCACAGACGGGGCAGATGTTCCCCCAATATGAGGCGACATTTTCTGTTCAATTGCAATAGTATGTCAGAGATACACAACACCCCTAAACGGAGATAGAAAAGAAAAAACATAACTAATTTGAGACCCCAAGTCTAGATTTTTAATAAGAAACTGATTACCGAGCACTGGAGGTAAAAATCGTAGGATGCTCCAATGGGGTCAGTGTCTACAATTACACGGGTTTCTCCTCTTCCATCCCCACGAGCATAAAAACTTGAGAAACTAAGGATGCTAGGGTCATCTGCGACGAGGCAGAAAATAGAAGTCCATATTATCCCGATTCACAAACCGACAAAATAATGGATATAGATTTAAGAAACGGAAAATGCGAGTCAGGATTAGAAGGACAATAAATGATCTCGGCTATTTAAAATATACAATAGATACACCATCACCATAACTAACAAATAAAATTTGAGAACCACTATTATAGCTATCATCATTCTTGCCCTTTTCTTTCCACACCCAAAAACAGAAAAAGGCAACAACAGAGTCATATCAGTCACCTCATTTCTTATGCTTAAATTTTAACGCTATTATTATCTAAGAAACCACGCAAATTTGTATTTATTTCTCCCTACGGTATGGTTTTTCATACCATCCAACAAACACACATTTCCAAATCCTAAGCTTTTCACCGCACCCTTACAAAGACACGTACCACAACATTCTTGTTCTTTCAGAGAGCAATTTAGCACCAGAAAAGCATAAATTTCTAGCTGTGTGGGTGAGAGAGAAAGAGATAGGTATCTGTCCGGACCAACAAATAAACGAGACCTCCAACGAAGCTCTCCCCACCAAGAAGAAGCACATCTCCGTAAAACCCATAGGTTAGGTTTGTAATAGCAAATCGACGATCTAGAAAATATAAGGGCGTGAAAAGCTAGGGGTATTCTGACCCCAAGTAAACGAGGCATCCAGATGAGCTATTTCTCCCCAAAATGGAACGATAGTCCACTTTAAACCTAGCTCTCTAGCAATGTAGAAACCCAACGAAACGAAATTGAGAGCACAGAGATAAACAGCGAGAGACGGGAATTAAAGTTGGTACCAAAGTCAGCTCGACGGCGTTTAGCGGCAGCCACGGGAGTAGCCTCCGCAATCCCCTTTCCAGAAGCATTATACTTGTTGTAAGCCACAGCCGTCTCCGAAGGAGCCTCTGCGATCCTATTTCCAGAGGCATTGCACCTGTTGTAAGCCACTGCCGTCTCCGAAGGAGCCTCCTCCGCGATCCTCTTTCCATAAACATCGTAATTGTTGGAGCCACCGCCATCTCTCTACTGCTGTGAGGCCCAGCCATCTCTGATCTCTCGCTACTAGCCAAGACAGTGATCTGAGTCGGTGGAATTTACATCCAGGAGCAACAAAGAGAGCCTCTCGGTTTCTTCGTTTTCCTTTTCTACTTTTTTGGTGTGTTTTTTCAGGTACTCCGTCTGTCCATCTCTTTCATTTTCTTTTCTTTTTTTCCTAATCCTATAATCCTCTCATTTTTTTTTTAAAAAAAAATTGGTTTATATTGTATTGCTCACTCGATTGGCATTGCTGTTTTAAATTTAGAATTTTACTCCTAAATTAAATTAAATTATTTGCACTCCAAGGCTGATCACACGAGTAATGAATTAAACTTCCTTTAAGGCACCACTAACAAGCTCTTCAAACAGTAAAACAAAAAGTTGTTTTGTTCAGTCCATGAATGTGTGTGTGTCATTAGGAATTGCTAGGAAACAGTGAATTAGGATTGAAGAATCGATTAAGTCACTTTTAACATGGATGATGATATTAGGGTGCGTCCAATAAAATTAAAAATTAAAAATTTAAATTCATTAGCTTACTACGAAATTGTTTGTTAAGTACTCGTGTAAATAAAAAAACAATTACAATCCAAATAGAACCTAAGTTTATAAATTGACAAAACTACCCACATACATACGTACTAAACACACGAGAGAGGACAAAATTATCCGAATTTCCTATCCATTCTCCTTCTCCTTGCTCTCCAATGCATACAAAAATTGATTGTTGTGAAAAATATGAGTGGCAAGTGCATTCGCCCATGGCATGCAAGTAAGCAAACAGTAAGCAAGGCTTGGTGGAGATGGAATTCCAGTTCATTGGATTGGAGGGTGCAAAAATTGAGTTAAACATTGCACTGGAGTAGCTTCACCGATCTCTATCTTTTCATATAGCAGAGTATTATTATTATAGGACTCTTCACACTTCATCAGTCTCGGCATGGAATTTCGTTTTCTCAGAGTCCTCTGTTCCAATCCTATCAACTAATCCTGTCCCTGTTTAGTTGTCTGTTATATGTACTGGCTTCGCCTCCTACAGGCATAATTAAATAATGGCGTCTTCTCCTTGTTTTCAAACTGATTTCTGAGCATCAATCTTCTTCTTTTTTTTTTTTTTTTTTGTGATTCAAATTAATCAAACAATAGCAGCAGAGAAGTAGGTTAGCACTTTTCCGGTTCAAATAGCAGCAGCATGCTTCCTTCTACTAATTGAATTTGATGTAAATATTGCAGGTCAAATGGCAGGCCTCGCTCGCAGTCACGGGTAATCCATTTTAGTTACAGCTGCTGCAGAGAGTGCTGTACACCTGTGGCTCTTCGCGATGATCTTCTCTCACGCAAGGAATTGTTACGTTTGATTGCTAGGCAAAATCTGGGGCAGCATACATGTTCGCTCACGCGATGAACATTGTGTTGGGGCAGAAGGAAGAAAGACAGTTCCTGAGTGGATTGCAATTGAGGAGGCAAAGATTTTGAAAGAATACTACTGAAATTGCAGGCAGCGAGTGCGTTGGGTGGTGTCACAGGTAAACTCGTGTGCCTACTGCGTTTTAATGCTGGCAATCCCTGAACCTGTGGATAAAGGATAAGTCGTGGTCTTGAAAGACTCTGCCGTGCTAAATCTCCTCTCCTTGTGCGCGCGCGACGTAGGGTGTGTGTGTGTGTGTGTGGGTCAAATGCGTTTGTTTTTACATCTCATGTCACGCTTGAGTATTATAATAAAAAAATATATATATATCTTCTTTTGATGGCTTATAAATATAATGAATTTAAATAGTACTAAGTTTTAGAGAGTTCATGTCCCGATTTACAAAAAAAGTTTGATTAGACATCAAATTAAAACAGCAAATCAATGGACCTTTGGCGGGGAGGAAATTAGTTGGGTATTTTGTACTAGTATTTAAACTGTTTTCAGTTTTCTATTTTAGCTGCCTCGGAATCATTTATCGTGCGTGGGATCAGACCTAACAACTTTTTTGGCATTCTAATTCTAAAAGTTTCCAGTTGGAAAGAGTGAGAGTGGAATCGGTTTCCATTACTTGATAAAAAATAAAGTTTCTAAGGACCACATGCAGCTTTTGTGGGGAAGTTAAAAAAGAAGGCCTTGGCTTTGTCATTTGCGTTGCACGATCGGTATTTTCTCATTTAATATATTTATTTATAAGTAATGATGGCTGATACGCTGAACTCATTATTATTGTTTGGACTTTGGATAGAATATATTATTTAAAATAATTATTATTATAATATTGTTTATAGTATCATATATATATATATATATATATAAAAGATAAAAAAATATTTACGATATAAACGAAATATTATTAAAAAAATTAGATATCCAAAGCCATTAACGGTACTCTTGAAATTGTCCTCCCCCTGCTTAGTCACTGCTCACTCAGTGCCGGCACGGCAGTGGTCCCTTTGTATGGCCCCCGACAGCCCCACTTTCTCTCCATCCGACCTCAAGGATGGCAACCGTCAACCCAAGGGCAGAGTGGCCAGGCAGGTTAGTGCAATTGTATAATTATTAATCTTTTTTTTTAAAAAAAATTTGCTATTACTGCTTTAATTCTGCCCTCGAATTCAACCTTTGTCCATCTCTGATTATGACAATGGACAAAGGTGAGCTGAAGGGGGTTTCTCAAAAGTCACCGTTGCTTCTTTTCAAAACCGTCACAACTAAAGTAACACTACTGTTTCGCACCATCACTATTCTTGTTCTGTCTAAATCTTGCTTGGGTGGCGGACAGGCGGAGTAGAAATTTCCACACGCTTCTTTATTATTATATATTATATATAAAACGAGGTCTTTACTGGTGTTTACTTATAAAACCAATCCCGTCTTTGTCAAACCCAACTTCCTTTTTCATCATTTCATTCCAGTATGTATGTGTGTGTATATCTATATATATATATATATATTGGCAAAGTCCTGTGAGTGTCGTAATACCATCTTCTACGTCAGCAAGCTCTGTTGTTCTCATCCTTTTTTTTTTCCTTTGGCTTTTTTGGCTGCAGACTTCTGGGTCATCCTCCTTGAGTCATTTGAAGGTAAAGAACATTGTGGTTTTTTCTCCCTTTTGGCTTGTGCAGCCATCAATGTGCTGCTGAAAGTTTATCTATGTATATATATAATATATCTTGATTGGTTTCTGCATCATGCGTTTTGAATCCGTCGAGTCTTGGTTTTTAAGCAGGGTGAGGTGTTGTGCCCCAGAACTTTTGATTGATGGGTGAATTGGTTGGACCTCGCCTGTATAGCTGCTATAAATGCAAGAATCATGTTTCGCTTCATGATGATATAATTTCCAAGGAGTTTCAGGTAACGCATTGATCCAATCGTACCCTCTAAATTACTTCCCTAATTCTTAATGGGATGGATGATTTGTTCAGTTCTTGTTATCATGGTCATCTAATTGGGGAGAGTTTTTAGTTGGGAATACATAATGATGGTAGTTAAAATATATGGTTTTCGGTTCTTTGAAAATTAGTATGGCACGGCCGGTTCGGTTGTCCGGAAGTCACTGCTACCGTCAAACGACAAAAATCGGGTTATTTTCCTCCAGGCGCTGTAAAACCTTGTAGATATTAAGGGGGAAAAAATATAAAGAATTCCTTGTTCGCTTGTGTACGAAGACGAGCATATATGATGACCCTAGTAGTGAAGATAAGTGGTATAAAAGATTGTTGAAATTTTATGTGTTGTTAATCCTACTTGGAGGTCAAATGTTGTGTTTTGTTAAGAATGACTATCAATTTCAATTCAAAGCAAGCCAATTTCTTGAGACTGCAATGATCATGAATATAGTTTGGGCACCAGTGGCTTAGATTCATTGCGATGCAATTTTTAGGGAAGAAATGGGCGAGCCTTTTTGTTCTCTCATGTGATGAACATTGTTTTGGGAGTTAAAGAAGACAGACAGCTCATGACTGGTCTACACACAGTTGCCGACATACATTGTGGTGATTGTCACGAGCTATTAGGGTGGAAGTATGAGCGAGCTTACGACTCAACACAGAAGTACAAGGAGGGAAAGTTCATTCTGGAGAAGTCTAAAATTGTAAAAGAGAATTGGTAGCACCGTAAGATGATCTTGCTTAGTTTTATTTTCAACGCCAAAAGGAATTGTTGATTCTTTGAGATGTTGAAGAAAAGTTCAGAAGTTGATACTTGTCAGCATCTGAATCTGAGAATTGCTACTTCTTTTGTGTCTTGGAATTCATTGAACATGTAATACCCTTGTCTCAAAAGCCTATATTTGTTGTTTCAGATCTCTTGCTTAATACTTACCCTCGTATTGCATTACTGTATCTGTGAAATTTGAACTGTAATGACCACCCCAAAGTTCTGGAAGCATTTACGGGTAATATGATGCTATGTGAGGGGTTGGTGTTGCCGGTATTTGTAGAGTTCTCATTCATGCTTGTATCAATTCTAATCAATGTCAGCCAGCTTATATGCACATTGCAGCCTAAAAGGTGGCAGATGTAAACATTCTCAACTAATCAACATAATTTGTAGTATACTTTATCGTGTTAGAAGGAAGGGGAACTGGAACTTGACTGCATCTTTTGCACTCTGAATCTGAATTAGGCTTTAAGTCAAGAATTTGAGCATTATGGTTTAGCTATTAAACACTAGTCGCACTTATAGATGATGAAAAATGTTTCTTCTACCTGAGTACGTTGCAGGAGTTTGTGTGACTAATTAATGGATTCAAATGCTTGCACTCAGAAGTGATCGTGAGAATGGTTTCTGCTACATGAATACAATGCAGGAGTTTGTGTGTCTAACTAATAGATTCAGGTGCTTGCACTCGAAGTGATCATGAAAATGGTTTCTGCTACATGAATACAATGCAGGAGTTTCTGGCGGCTAGCAACTGGATTCAGGTGCATGTTAGATGCCCGATATAAGTGAGAAAACTAGGAAGGGACAGCCCGCGCGACGCGCGGGAATTTGATGCTTGTGATTCAAGATAATTAATAATTATTGTTTAATATTTTGTAGTATAGGAACTGAAGTATGATGATTTTATCATGTAATTTTAATAGAAAAATCATAAGTTACATAGTGAGTCAATAAAAATAATGTGCAATGAAATATTCTTATCGTTATACTATATAAGAATCCGTTGTGATCAAAGGTTATGTTTGAATTTTAACTGTAAAGATAAGGGTAGTTTGAAAATGTAATAATGTTTGAAGTGCAATTGAAAAGTATCCAAATGTCTCTTCTAAAACTTATTCAAGATGATAAAACATTTTAAAGTATCAATTGGACCCTTCATCTCTCGAATCTATATATGTTCGTGAAAGATCCCTCAAGCAATACTTCTGATTTATCCCTCGACTTAAGCTCAACCCGAATTATCAAGTCAAGTTTATCCATCAATCACTTTGCGTCCAATCTAATCTAAAATAATTTTATTTTTGACTAACTATTTATATAATTTGGTGGGTATAATATGACTTAATCACATGTTTCTTACAGAGATAATAATGCCAAAAAATGATAGATAGATAAGAAATTTAAGTGGTCTTTTTCAAAGTTTTGTAGAAATTATTCAGATTTGGTGTTTTTTGCTATGGACATTTCTTTGTAATCTCATAAATAAGTTCAAATCTGCATAATTGTTAAAGATTTGAATTGAAACCATCTTGATTATAAAAAAATTGGTGCAAATAATATTTTCTAAATTTGAAATTGTAGGAAATGGTAACTAAAATCAGAAGAAATTCCTCATATGAATTTGAATTGCAAACTATAGGTAGAAACTGCTTAATGATATTTTATAATATTTACTTGTATAAGTATCCAATATAACATCTCTGCTTAATTGACTCGTTTGAACTATGGATAATAGTTGTTTCAATCAAATCAAAAAACATTATTTATCATTGTACAATATACAATTATGAGTAAATGAATTAATACAATGCAATCAAAATGGTGCTGTAGCTAAAACATTTAAATTCATCAAGTTTCACTACAAATTCTTTTAGATAGCATAAAAAAGTAATTTTTTTGTATTTGAAACTATATAAATAGTATAATACAAGAATGAGATCACATGGAAAGCAAATAGAGTGCAAATGACATCTTAGTACTATGTAGCATGATTAATTTTCTTTTTTAGTTTCAATGAATTACAAAATTATAAGTTAATAAATTTTACAATCATAAAATTTCTAATTAAAATAAACACAAGCTGAATTCCAAATCATATTACATGAAAAATTAACTACTTGAACCATAACTGCTGGAATGTAGTCAACAGATCCCTGGAGTCAAGAATAATAGGAGAAAGTTCATGAGAAATAAGGTTATTTGACTTAAATAAAAAGATAATACCTTGACTGAGGAGGAGAAGATGATAAAATTGCTTTTCTGATTATTTTAGAAAGTGACAATGTTATCTCAAATTGTACTTTAACCAGAGATAGAATCTCTGGGATCTACTAAAAAAAACAATACAATTAGTCAGTTTTTGGAATTAGAAGTATCAAAAGGCAAACTATATGAAGTTTTTGAATAAATTAATCATCAGAAAAAAAAACTACAATCGAAGAAGACAAACCCAAAGAACTTGCCTCAATTAAAAGGAAAAGCTATGCATTCCACCAAATATTTAATAGCCATAATAAAATCAAAGAGGTGAAACCGAAAAAGAAGAAAGGGTATCGGCTAAACATGGGAACATAAATATGATAATGATTGTTCAGATAATAATTAAGTTAATTAATTGTAATTAAAATCCAATTATGTAAACATCCAATTAATTCCTTAACCGATGAGAAAGGTTTCAGGAAATTGGAAGGTTTTGATGTTAGTATAATAAATGATTAAAAGGACTTTTATGTAATTCTATCAAAATACAAGCTTTATTCAATTGTACTTGATACTCAACTTGGCATCAAACATTGTAACATACCAAACCTGCCCCTAACCTTAAATGTCTGAAAGGTTATATAAGTAATTATAGTGAAATTAAAGCTATAATGACTTGTACTCAGTGTTTCAATTACTCTTCAAACACTCTCACATTCTCAAAATAGCCTCACCTCTGCGGTTAAAATCTAGTCCTAAACTCGTTCTTATATAGTATAAGGATATCACTCTCTTTTATTATGACATGCATCCAACTAGTTGATATACATTGGTCCAATCTAATGGCATTACTGAGATGGGAGACTTTTATACTTCGAGTTTTAAGGATAATTTTTTGGAAAGAGAGGCAAATTAACAAGTAAGATTTCGTGTTACATTCGATGATTCCCACTTTCCCAAAATTTAAGATTTTGTCATCGAAAAGTACCCTAAACATAAAGGGACATTGGTGTTACAAACTGGAAAAGAAGTAGTAACCAAAAAAAAAAATGGTAGGAGTAACCATATATGGTACAAGTATAATACACGATATTGTATGTACATGTATAAAAAAAGATTAATCTTTTCTACACTGACAGTGTATACACTATCGGTGTTGGATGAATGACAACTATGCAAAATTTGAATTTGAAATTCAACTTTTGCACACATGTCATGAATTCAACGATGATAGTGTATACACCGTCAGTGTAGGAAAGATTTACTCATAAAAAAAGGGTAAAAAACACAAAAGTTCCCTGTGATATAGCTATTTTATAGAAAAGCCCCTTGTGGTTTTAAATCATACGTATCGGTACTTCATGGTTTGAAGTAATTTGAAACATCGACGGAAATCATTAAAACAAACGATTTTGAGTGAAATGACAAAAATATCCTAATAATATGAGTAAAAAATAACATAAAACAAACGATTTTTGATTCATTAGTTTCATTCATTAATAATATAAGCAAAAATCGTCGATTTTGCAATTTTGGAGCAAAATTAAAAAAGAATCATGGTTGTTTTATTAAGGTATGAGGGGCAAAATAAGTATTTTAGATCAAATTTTACCTTAAAAAACTATTTGTTAGAAAAATCACGCACAGTTCCAGTGCGTTTATATCAAACGTGTTAAATTTAACGATTTCGTTAATTTTTCGCTTTATTTTGAATCATAAAGTACTGTTGTGTATGATTTGACACGAGATTTTTCTGTGGGATAACTATACTAGAAGGAGTTTTTTGGGTTGTACCCATGAAAAAACCATTGGCATACATAATTTTTGTTTTCAAAAGCACGAATAACAGTTTTGGTACAAAAATACATGTTTGGTAAAATTAGGTATATAAATTTGAAAGTGAATGGTATGAATATATTTGAAAATTACAGAACTATAATATGTGCTATATTTATACCAATTTTAACTCATATTTTTGTGTAAAGGCCATTAAATTTATTAAAATTTTATCAATTTATTACTTTTATGTGTATAAATCTATAGAATTATGTTATATGTCACTGTTATTTTGTATATAACTAAGAAGACAAATCATTATCCTTGCTCAAATTTTTAAAATTTTTTTTAAAATGAAGTATAATTCATAAAATATAATATGTCAAAATTTTTTATGTATTATATACAATTAATTAAAAGGTATGAATGTTTTTTAGAGTAATTTTAAAGTATACAAAATATAAAAGTTTTTTTTAATTATATGTGTATGTGTATTATCTATACTATATATAAAGTTTCAGGAGAGGTTTGGGATTAACATTTATTATCATTTTATGAAGTTCTCTTCTTACTCTTAAAAAAACTACTTTCACTTTAACTACCTATAACTACCCATGACTATTTAAATATTAGGTATATAAATTTTACTTTTAACTATTTAAATATATTTTTTCAACATAACTACCTCTAAATATTATAACTACAAATATAAATTATTTATAAAAAATATTTAAAAATTTAAATTTTGCTTCAATAATAAAAATTTTATTTAAAATATATGAGCATAAAAATTATGTATATTTTTTATTACACACATGTTAGGCTGCATTGAGCACCAGTATGGATAATATAGGAATATAATACGGCTATTTTACAAACTACAGTGTGTTAACGTGACGTCGCAAAATCAGAACCGTCGTGTGCGGTCGGTGGAATCATGACAAAGCAAAGGGTGGACCAACGGATGGATCCATAAAAGGGGTGGTCAATCTGTTGATGGATACGATTCCGCGGGATTGAGCCATTTAACTTCCGAAGCCCAACTTAGCTTTGCCACCCGTCCGTCCATTTCTCCATCAATCTTTTTCTCACAGTTAGTTAGAGACTTAAAAGGCACGACGCCAGCTTGCCTCGGGGCCTGAGACTCAGCCTGAATAGACAGTGGCGGTACTGGTTAAATCACTGGACAGCAAAGACTCTACAGAGAAGTCACGCTCCCACTCCGGACAACTCTAAGGCCGGGCAGAGTGAGTGAGAGAGAGGCCTTCGCAGGATCCTCAAATTCCTCCAACGCGTGGCGGAGTCCGACTCCTCCGTCAACCTCCAGTCCATATCTGAACTCCAAGATAAAGCCTAATTCTTCATCCTTCC